GAATCGTTCCCATAGTGAGTTTACACGCTGTGCTTAACATCCAATCCTAATATAATTCATGTCGGATAGAGATGATGTTTACTATTATATCGTATGGTATCTGCTTTATCGAATTGAGAATAATTTGTACAAAAAGATGATCTATAACACAGGTTGCCACACCGCAAGTAAACTCCCTTGTGATATCATCCAGGAATCAGAAAAGTCTATCGGCATCATATCCATAGCCATCTCAAAAATAACGCCAAAGGAGTTTCAACCGCCCCATCTTGCTTTGTTTATTCATTCACCCTGCTGCTGCATATGCGTTGGTAAATTCCAGCCCGCGTAATCTTGATGAACAAATGCTCTGTCAACCGTTGGAACTGACTCCAATACATACTGTAGCGATTCACCCAAATCGTGACTATCACGGAGACTCATACTTTCATCCAGCACAATATCGACTTCGACGTTTAGTTTATCGCCGGCGTGATATGCTTGCAAACCTTGGATTTGCTTGATGGTGCGTGCAAAACGCATGGTGAGGTAGAGAAGAACATTGCGTTCGTCGGCGGTGGCAGCAGCACCAGTGAGATTGCGTATGTGACCGGCGGATGTACCAGCCCAGTTTATGATGACGAAGAGGGAAAGGAGAAGACCTCCGAGAGCGTCGAGCCACCATAGTTTAGCGTAGAAGCCGACTGTATGCTTATTAGATTATGAAGGAGTAGGAAAGATGTCAGTGGACTTACCGAGGGGGAAAATGATACTGAAAATGTTAAAGATCACGTCGGTCATGGCATCTTGGGCAAGTGCTTGGACACTAGAGTTCTTGATAAGACGACACCATAGCCAACAAAGGGCCTTGATGAAGACTGTTGAAGACATGATAACAATAGCTGGCAAAGTAAGCTCGATAATTACACGATCGTCTGAAGAGAGTCGATTGAAACACTCTAATGCCACTTGAATGAAAGACGTAACCATGATGACACTGAAGCTATATCGCCATTAGGTTAGCCTTTGATCGAAAAGATGAAATTATATCAACTCTAGTGCAAGCGGAAGCGATGCGTAGGAGAGGACTGTCTTACACAAGAACACCAATTGGCTCAAGGCGCCGACGGCCAACAGGATACGAATATTGATCTTGACGTTCGATCATTTTGGTAGTCGTAAAAACGATGGCTGTGCTGAGGAAATCCAATGCCGCATCGACAAGACTAGCAAGAACCGAAAGAGAGCTTGTCAACACAATGACGGCAATTTTACCAGCTAGAAGAACTGTATTGGCTACTAGATTGATATAAATCGCAATCTGCACAATCCTATCACCACTCTCCACACTGTCGTCCTCCATGCCGGGAATTTCGGGCTTTGGTCCATCGTACTCGCTGTCTTCCTCGGAGAGAAGAAGGGGCGTCTCCTCCGTGACCTTGTAGATCTCTCGGGGTGTCCGCTTGATTCTCTTCGGGACAGATCCGGTGCCATTGCCATTACTGGTGGGAGTATCTGATTCTGGGGGTGTACGCGGCTCTTCTGATATCGTCGTGGGCACTTCAAATCGTCCACTGCATGCATTGTGTTCGTATTCGTTGAGGAGATCATGAGGAATTGAAGAATCGAGTAACCGATCAATGTAGATATATTGTTGGATGAGAGAATTGGTTCGTTCGTAATACTGGCGTCTGTGAGACTTATCAGTTTTTGGTCATGAGGCTGGACGTTTGTGCTTGAGTAACAATTGGAGTGACGTACATCGGCTTCTTCATGCCTTTTAATTCTTCCTCAGTTTTCCAATATCTCTCCCATTTATATCGAGGATTGCTATTGCCGATAAGGCGTTGACTGCGCATCTGTGGTCCATTGAGCACAGCACTCAACCGTCTTTCACTGAAATCATCGCGGTCGTCGAATACACTGCGCGGACGCTCTTCGTCATCCAACGAGTCTCTACCCAAGATTGATCCAGACTGCCGCCGCATGTTTACCAAAGATCCGTTCGATTGATTCTTGATCAGTTTAGTCAAGGTGCCTTGCCCATGTGTTGCCATAGGGCTTGTGCTTTCTGTACTGAGTGATAGCCAGCCGGAGGGTCCTTGGTACCGTCCAATCTTGCCAATTTGCTTTGGCGCGCTCGAAGAGTATGGGGTGTTATCGTCCGTCATTATGTCGATGATAAGTATAGAGGGGTCATGAGTTTATAGTCACATTGAGAAGTTAAGTTTGTTTGTAAGATGTGGTGATCAAACATGCTCGGATCAATGAATCGCAAAGAATCTACAAAAGAACCTACATGGCAAAGAAACTGCCAAAACTGCCAAGCGACGGGGCCATCTTCTTGATGCTGCAGAAACATGGTTGCCGAAAGCCTCATCCCAACATTCTGAGCAAAGAAATGATGATATGCAGTATCTAGCTATAAAACTTGATGGCTGAGCTTAGAGTCTTGCATTACCTACTCTTTGAGAAAAGTATTTTGAGGATATATATTCTTACCAATTTATCATGGGTGTTTGCGATTTCATTCTACATATACAGAGTAGAGTTAAGTCTTCGGAAAATATCCACTTTTCTACTGCAAGACCAATTCTCACTAAGAGCATTTGTTGCAGACGTGATGACACCATCAAAAGTTTCATGGTGATTCAGAAACAGAACACAGGATATGTGTTAGCTAGCACGTTTTCAGATACTCTGTCCAAACAGCTCATCATGAGTCAATTGATGAGAAGAGGGTTGGTTCATGAGAAGCAAGCTGCATGTTGGTGGAGCACTTTTTTTCAGCTACATTTTGAAGAGTTGCCTGTCACTCCCGTCTAGCAGTTTGGTTTGTTGATATTTAGGTTTCTTGTTGCAGATACATATAAATACATCTGCCATAGCCTCATACCATACCTTAGCCAGACTAATCAATATTGACTGTCTTCGAGAGGGCCAGTAGCCTTCGTTTTGACATTGAATGACACAAAAGACGGGTTTAGTTCTATCCACATTTCCACACGAGAATGACCAAATGTATTTATGTAGCTATTGATATCTTGGCGAAAAGGATGTTGAGGTAATGGTAATGGAATGGTAATTGGAATACGAGCGAGTACGGAGTAGGAAGTTCATCAACGACACAATTACGGCCCAACAGTTGGACGCGATGGATGCTATGGATGCGGGCGTACCAATTAGATTCGATGGGTAGGTAGCAATTGTTCCTTGTACCTTACATTCATTCACGAAAGAAAAGGTACCTGTCGACCGTTGAAGCAATCCAAGCAGAAATGATATGTGTGCAATATGCACTCACAGCTGAACAAATAAACAAACTGTCCGTACGATTCCCCCCAAATTATGAAGCCCATGATTTCTAGCACTTCACATCTCCTCCTATTCACATGTGACATGTTTGACAAAAAGCGTGTTTCTGTGCGAGGACTAAAGCTTTGGCCATGATGATTTGCGTCCTCTGTAACTATAAGGCAAATCACAAGCATTGTCAACGAGCGGGAGGGGGCCGTTGGTTGGGTGGGTTTGGGATAAATGAAAATGGAAATGTAAGAGCATGTTTAATTTTTAATTTTTGCTTCAAGGTTTGACTCTCTTCCAGAGAAAGAAGCTCATAGGGTAAACCTTGGTAAGATGTCAGATCTTAATTTTGATTTGAATAGAATCATCTGAATGTATAAAATTTGAAATGAAAATCTTATCTTACCTACCACCACTACCACTACTACCACCACTGCCACTGCCACTACCACTATACCAAGCTCTCTGAATGAATCCAGATACTGGCGGTCCCTGTGAATGCAGAGTTACATGGCTTTCTTTTCCTCCAAATCTTACTCATTCACAATTTCACACAGTTGTAAGATTTGCAATAATAGAAAATGGTGTATTGTGTCTTTTAGATGCAAGTACCTACTCCATAAGTAAAGTAGTATATATGTGAAGCAACATCAAACCAAAATCATTTCATGAGTTGGTTCTGTCCTTCCACTAGAACTGCCTACACACACACTCGTACATACACGGAGGTTTGCGGTAAGGCTCTAAGCGATTGTAGAACTGGACTGTCCCCCGAAACGATAAGCATTTCAATGTCATCAAATGTATTAAACAAAATCAACAACTTGCGACCCTCATACAGACACGCTCAGGGTGAATAAGGTTATCTTACCAAAGTTGAGAGAGGCAGAAATCTTTGATATCTTACCATTCTCATGTAAGTCGATATTATCTCTTGTTTGTTGTTGGTTGGTACAGTGTTTTAGGTCTATCTTTGGGCCGTGAAGTCGAAATAGACTCGAGCCAGCAGGCAAACTCATTTGGTTTCCAGCCATGCGCTCAACCATATTCACCAATACTTGAACAGACCATTATTATCGCAGCTTTCTGCCCTTAAATATGATTGAATAAGTTTGCTAACACATATATGTGGTCCCAGATGAAGGAGCGGCTCACAAACGCAGATTCAATAACCCCCCACTCCATCGCGAACGACTCGACTTTAGGCGTGAAAAGATCTCCTACCGCGACCAAGTTTGGAAACAACATCCAATATTCTGTTGGCGCTTATTCTTGAATTACAATACTCGATTCGAAAGGAAATTCTACATCAGGGGCCCGCATCTTCGAAAAGCATTTCTTTCGGCTTGTACCAATAGTCTCGATAGTAGTCTGCGGCACAGGTGGAAAGCGCAATCGCAATCCCATTATCGAGATTACCTCATTTCGCCTTTGATTTCAGCGGGATTTCCCCTCCAAAGCTCTAAAAGCAACGACCATAAGCTCGAACAAAGAACTGCATGTTCGCATAGCTCTCTTACCTACACAGGAATCCAACAAAGTTTCATAGTTATTTTGGAAGTTCAATCAATTCAGCCAATAACTGCTTGCGCTCTGGTTGGATATCCGCTGCTAAGCCTCATTGACTTGCACTGCCACCGTGCCTGTAAGGCTCACTGCTATACTCGACAACCTCGCAGTATTTTGATATTTTTAGAAGGAGCAAACAAACTTTCAACATGGATTCACAACGTGGAAGATCTCCATCTGGAGGTCACCAACATATAAGAAATCATTCTCCTTCTCCACATGCCTTCCAAGATGGTATGAACGGATTAGGCATTGCTTTGGATCCTTCGAGTATCAACAACCACCAACAGTTTCAGAATAACTTTAATACCCAAAACACAACACTCCCTACTTATGTTGATAACAACGAATTTTTGAATCCAACTCCACAATTTACTCAGAGTGGACTCGGTGATGCCAATTTTGCACCAAGCCAAACACAGGACTATTCTCAATTTGAACAAGAAGATCAATCATCATTTGCTCCCCCGCAGCGAAGTTTTACCCAAGAGCTTTTAAGTGCCAATTTTGACGGAGACTTCTCATTGTATCCCAATAGTGGACAAAACGAGCAATTTGACCAGTCCTATTTCATGAATGAGCTTGCGCCTCAATCTGGAAATCCATCCATCAATCCTGCAGAATTGAACATGTCACCCCCAGCGCATACACCAACACCACCAAGCTTGTTGCAACCTGATAACCGATCACCAGCTTCTGCCCACCAATCTCCTTCTTTTAATCAAGGTCCCTTTCAACCATCACCAGGCCATTCACGAAACGCATCACTTGGCCCAGAGAGTGCAGCTTTCCCTTTAGTCCGTAATCCTGGTGACTGGAGTATGATGCCCTCGCAATTCACAGGTCATCGCAGAACTCCGTCCGAATACTCTGATATCTCTTCCGCCGCCCACTCCCCTAATCTAGGTCACCACGACAGCTTTGAAGGAATAGATCAACAGCACTCACCGATGCAACACCCTCAAGATTCAATCTATCAGGACGTTCTTGCAATCGGCACCTTCTCTCTGACCGATCCAAGTCCTCACGCCGGAATTAGCCCTGCTCATAGTCCTGCAATCTCACCTAGACTCGGACCTCAACAAACACCAAACATGGATCAACAAAATGCATTCATGCTAAACGCGAACAATGGTTTTCCCTCTCAGAACATTTACAATCAAGGCCAAGAATCGTTTCCACAAATGCAACACAGCAGTTCTCTAGATATGGGCCAGGCGCAGCAGATGGTGCCCCCTGAGATAAACGTTGAATTTGCCCCGGCATCAAGACAGAACAGTTTCGATCCTCCCAGATCAGCTCTTGACCAAGACGCATTAACTCCACCTGACCGAGGTAAGTTGTATATGGATACTACCTACACGTGATTATAGCTAATTCTTTCAGGTCGTCGTAGGAGAGCCGTCTCCGACCCATATAATAGCCCGCGTCCTCATAGTCCTTCAAACGCCTCTCCTTTAATGAGAAGTTCTTTGTCTCCATTAGGTCATGATTCATCGGCATCGCGCTCATTATCGCCAAACGATCGATCTGGGGCAACTTCGCCTGGCCGACGTCGACAGTCTACGTCGTCATTACCAAATCGAGATTATATTCTTGGTCTTGCAGATCCTGATTACCAAGCAGTATCATCCGACAATGGCAGTGCAAAGCGAGTTCAAAAACACCCGGCAACATTTCAATGTACCCTTTGTCCAAAGCGTTTTACAAGAGCCTACAATCTCCGCTCCCATTTGCGTACACATACTGATGAGCGACCTTTTGTTTGCACGGTTTGTGGCAAAGCTTTTGCACGTCAACATGACCGAAAGCGTCACGAGGGTCTTCACTCTGGAGAGAAAAAATTCGTTTGTAAAGGCGAGCTGAAGCAACACGGCCAATGGGGATGTGGTCGCCGCTTTGCTAGAGCTGATGCATTGGGCCGTCATTTTAGATCTGAGGCTGGCAGAATCTGTATAAAACCTCTGTTAGATGAAGAGGCTCTCGAGAGACAAAGATTGTGGCAAGAGCAAAACATGCAAAACATGCATATGCAACAGCGACCTATGGGTCAAGATGCTAATGGCTTCGCTGTCGATTCGAGTGGAAATTACGGCTTACCTGCTGCACTTCTCGCACAATACCCTGCGCTTGCCAACTTAAGCTGGCCAGAGATTCCTCAAGGTGACAACAATATCGATGATGATCATAGCGGTAGAAGCAGTTTCGATGCCAGCGGCTCTGAGTATTATGACGAGGGTGACGATGGAGGATACCTTTCTAGTGGCCCCGGTCCACAACATGGTTACCCTCAACCTCGAATGACGGACGCATATAACACTGGCTACTCAAGCGATATGAGTGGTCGATAGTCTCTTTGTAATGGTAGTCAGCGCCATGCATATACGCATTGATTCCCTTTCGTTTCTTCACGGCTGTCAAATTCTAGAGGGGGTGGGGACTTTTAGGTATTGATGAGGTTTCTTTCTTTTGGCGCTTTAGATACCACGAATTCTGTTTTTCTTGGGTTTTATGTTATGGCTTCTGCGTAGAGCGGCAGTCGCTTCCTAGGTTATCTTGGTGGAGTTTTTCTTTGATTTTGAGATGGTTGAGATGGTTCAGATAGTTGATTCGATTCTGTGAGGATTCCAGGGAACGAATCTAGAAATGATATACTGTTAAATTTATGCATGATGATTGATTGATATATATTACATGAATTTTTTTTGGTGTATGAATTTATGCAATGTATTTGAAAGGAATTTGAATGAAAGTGTTATAGGGATTTGCATGACGAAACAACATCTATTGGGCCAGGGCGGGGCAAAGGAGACGTTAAAAAGTCATGATAATATCGTTACATATTCGTACAAACCTATGAAGGGATTGAGTCAACGGAGGAAGATTGCATAATAAAGGATATGGTATTCATTAAGCATATCCAACTTTCCATAATGTAAATATGCTCAGCTTTCTTTAAGCGAGCTAACAACTATATTACTCCATCCTTTTATTTACAGCGTTGTACATCCGAATTCCCTGATTTTACAAAGTATAGACCAACTTCTCACCACTAACCTTACCCTCCTTCATCGCTTGCATTCCGTTTAGAATCCCCTCGAAACCCTCTCCAAACTTGTTCAGAGTCACCTTGTGAACCTTGATCTTTCCATCGGCCAAAAGTCCCCGGGACATCTCCCAGAAAGTCTTTGCGAACTCGAAGTCCTCGGGCTTGGCGGGGATTTCGGTAGCGCCAAAGGTGAATTTCTCGCCGAGACAGGTGTAGCCGAGGGTAGATTTGTTTTCGACCTTGGTGTTGTACTTGTGGACTTCTTCGGTGGCGACGGGGAGGAGAGTGCTGTAGACGCCGCCGGAGGAGGACATGGCTGAGACGGTGATCTGGGTGCTGGATCCTTCGGACATGCAGTCGAAGGCGTGTTTGATGCTGTCGTTGGTGAAGTCTTTGATGTCTTGGGAGCAGGTGGGGGAGTTGTAGTCGAAGACTTTGTCGGCGCCGAGGCTTTCGAGGTAGGCGAAGTTGCGGGGGGAGGCGGTGGTGACGACGGTGAGGCCGGAGAGTTTGGCGTATTGGATGGCGAGGGCGCCGGTGGCGGTGGAGCCGCCGTAGATGAGGACGGGGAATTTGGTCGAGGCGGGGGAGGTGGGGAGGGGAAGTTGGAGGGATTGGTAGAGACCTTGGCCGACGCTGGGAAGAAGTATGTTAGATGGATGGAGGGGTGGATTGGGGAAGATTGGAAGTGTCTGGAGGACTTACGTTGTGATTCCGACACCGAGGGTAGCGGCTTCTTCGAAGCTGAGGTTGTCTGGGATCTTGATTTGGTTATCACCCTTTGCAGTGATGATGTTTGCGAAAGCTCCATCATCGTGATTGACCTCGTTTCCTCCGTGGCAGAAACCGCATACGCGATCGCCCTTCTTGAAGTCCTTGGTAACTGCACTTCCGACCTCTTCGACAACACCTGCGTAGTCACATCCAACCTGTAGAGAGAGCTATCAGCATGGGTTGGTAAGGATATAGGAGGGGCGGGGACTTACTCTAGCTCCGTTGCTGGTAAGCCATTCGACGTGTTTCCAGTCAGTTGGGTTCAAAGCCACAGCCTTGGTCTTGATCAAGATGTAATCATCTCTGAGTTTTGGGATTGAGGCCTCCACTGCCTTGGCCTCTCCAGGCTTCTGAACGACGACTGCGGTATTTGATGACATTTTGGAATCTGATATATTGATGGAAAGTACGTTTTTATATGGTGAACGGGGTATATTTGATATGGAAATGTTCAATTGATATTTTGGAAGGAATCTAGAGGGGATTAGGACTTCTTTTGAAGTACACACGACCGGTAGTCTTCAAAGCATGATTGATAATAATCATAATCTAGGAACGGAGCTTGAGCTCATAGAGTGGAGACAAAAAACTTAATTAGATTTTTATTATGGACAAGTTGAAGATGGGAATCGGCGCGGGGGGAAGTTTGTTTGGCTGGAACTTTTTGCTCTGATATCACTTTGCCCCTCTCTAGCCAGGGTTGTCTTCGATGTACATGACTACGTAGTCAATGAGAAGGTAAAATTTTAGTAAACAACGTGGTTACGGCCGGTGAACCTCGGCACTGGCATCCAGCTTTCATTTTGCGTAAAAATCGAATTTGCAAGGCCTGGAGTGAAACACAGAAGAGACATCTAGCATCTTCTGCGGATAAAAACGTCCTCCGCAATGCCTGGTCTGAAAGAACTTTGAATTATCAATCAGTGGAATTGAAGTCCGAAAGACTCCACTCCTGTGCGGCGATATGATCTCTGTAGATTTGTGTGGCAGTTCTCTGTGGTTTTTACAAGTCGTACAAGAAGTGTCAAAGTGCTTCTAGAAGAACGGAGGGATTGTTGACCCGAAATTTGTGGACTCTTTAAGCTTTCGGTTATTCTCAAGAAAATCAGAGAAGGAAAAGTGTTATAAAATAGTATGGACTTTCCATTTCAAAAACATGAAATATACGAAGATAAACGCGGTATATATCAAAATCAAAGTCCAACACGATGACTTCATGTTACTTCAGGCTGAAATTGAAATCCATGAGATTGGGATGAATGACTGCCGGCTAACCCACCCAAAGTAGACTTACTGGAGTGACGGTGTGGATGGTGATTTATCTCCTTACCTGGTAGATTCATCATGTGTTCAAGAGAACCTTTGAACATCATACCCAATTTCTTGTGGGTGCGACTGACAAGGTGACGGCAGTCAAAATGGCCGGATAGATGTGAGGACTCGTTGTGAATTTTGGGTTGCCTCGATTGCTTCGATTGCCCCGTTTGTCTCTGTTTGCTTCTCTACCCACATGTCTCGAGCTCAACCTGGACTCGGGAATGGACCTTACTCGATGCATCGGATGGATTGTTTGCAGTTTTGTGGTTTGCATCATGAATATGAATTAAAGATATAAACCCTTCTGATTACTAGATAGATATCCCCTCTATACACAAATACAGCCTCAATCGCGTACCGACGTATGATGACTCGGACCAAAGAAGATATCAAAGGCACGTCGGTACCCGCGGTTTGTTCTACTTTGCATATCCTTTACACGAATCAGAGTGTTGTTTTCCCACGATACATCACATTCCTGGTTGCCACCTCTACCCAATTTCGAAATGTGCAGTGTCACCAGCCAACCAAACCCATGGCTGGAAAAGAGAAATACCTAGTAACATCCCCTTATGCATGAAGCCAATTGTACAATGTAATTTGATGAAAATCTTCATATCCTTTCTACTTTCAATCAGCTCTTCCTTTTGGTGGCTTTTCGTCGCTTTTCATCTATGCTTTCTTCACCCTCCCTCAGCCACCCAATGCGAAGGAGGACTGCGAAGGAAGGATACCGCGTATGTGCCTGTGTGTGGTCGCACTTCCATTCATTCTCTCAATACCAATTCTTCGTACTTCAAGTCAAGAAGCGGTGTGGCAAAATACACTTCCTTACTGTAGGTATTATTCGCAAATATGTAGAAGAGACTCCAACAGTGGAGAAGAATGAGATGGGGATGGGGAAAAGGTGCCCAGGGCCAGAACTAATGAAGAGTGAGCCTGGAATGGTACGACCGACAAGACAATTGACAACAACGATCGATACATATGGAAGTGACCCTCGTCCACGCTCAGTGTAAAGTAAGTAATTATGTATCTTTGATAGAAATATAATCATTTAGAAAGCAATGTCAAAATTCATGCTGTACCACTCTCCTACCTTTACCTCACATATGAATTTTCCCAAGTCATACCAATCATTATCCAATACCCACACACAGCACGCTTGCCACAGATCTACCTGCCCTACCGATTTAACTTGGGCCTATTAGTTACCTGTCCGCTCCTGCTTGTACCCGCAACCTCTACGAAGCACAAGTAAAAAGTGGAAACTTTGCCAGTCATCGTGTGTTTTTCTTGTCCCATTCGACGACTGCAGGTGTGTGAAGGCGTACTTGCACAATGCATAACTATAACTGTACATGGCTCTATTAGTGTCATCCAATGCGAGAATCTTGTTCCATGAAGTGTCGTTGGTCAATGTAAACATCCTTTTATCGGTCTGAATCCATCTTTTGATCTATTCTTTGGAAACTCCTGAACCTCGAGAGTGATTTACTTTTTCAGATGAACATATATAAACGTCGAATGTTTTACATCTAGGCACATTGAAGTGGCACGGATAGGGGTCTTGATAAGGGTTTCTTTGGGGGGGGATCATCACTCTCAGCGCAGATACCTGATTGAATGTCTCAGAATTAACGCAGGATACAAACGACCAGGGCAATATTCAACGTGTGACCACGTCCGAAGTTCTCATACCCTACATACCCTACATACCATACCATATCATACCCTCTTTGACCTGATCTACTAACTACACATTAACTCTCACCTCACAATACTGTTGAATTGTGCTTATACCCTCTCAGCCTTATTCAATTTGCTTTTCTTCCTTTTCCGAGATCTCTCTTGCCCTTCTGCCACGCATTCGAAGCGGATCCCACTTTGCCAGCCCCCCTTCAGATTGCGCTCATGCCGAGAACCACCCAGTTTCGATGAATTTGACATCTTCCTGCCATAACCAAAGTTTGAATATCCACAATGGCAGCGGTTGAGGTTTTGTCGTACGGAAGCGATTGTGGATTGAATACGACCTTTCCTTGGACGATTGGATGGGATGAGGGGGATATTCGCATAAGGCTGAGATTCATTGCAAAGGCTTGGGAGGCGTCGCAAACACAGAAAGATATATGGCATTCGGGATTGGTATGCATTCAACAATTTCTATATGGTTTCAATCCTACGTCTGCGACTAGACCAGGCTGGCGCAGTGCAACTGGTGAATTTATACAATGGTTGCGAGCACCATGGACGGGATTGGAAATAGCCCAAGCCCACTGCATATATTGAAGTCCAAGCAGCCCACGTGGGAACTATTCGATTTCCGTTTATTTGCAAGACATCAAATTACAAAGTAGCGACTTTTGTGCTTGGGTTATTTTGGTATTTTCGACATAGATTTCTAACATCGTTTACAGGACGAGAACCTCCATCCGACACAAGCCAGTTCTCGCAGGGGAATAAACGAAAGATTGAGAACCGCAAGCTTACTACCAAGGTGGCAATGTTGTAGGTCTGCACAGGGCGACAAAGAGAATATAGTAGACCTACACGACACTACTTCACTCGCCAAATCGCAGTTGCAATACTATATCACACATCCCGCTACCCCTATAACCTCGCGAGAAAAAATACGTGAACCATTACCATTTGAGGATCCTAGATTAAACCCCTCTGTCGATTTCAACTTCCAAGATGGATTTAAGGTGGCTGGGAAGAAGGGTAAGAAGGCAAATGCTAAGAATAATGCGCCAGTATACAAACCCAAGGATGACGATGGAGATGATGGCATGAAGAAAAATGATGATGATGGTAATAATGGCGATGCTGGAGCTAATGGGAGTGGTTCTGGCAATGGGGGGCATGACAAAAAGGAGGAAGAGAGAAGAGAAGAGGAAAGGAGAGAGGAGGAGAGGAGAGAGGAGGAAAGGAAAGAGGAGGAAAGGAAAGAGGAAGAGAGAAAAGAAGAGGAGAGGTTAGAGGCGGAGAGGATGGAAGAGGAGAAAAAAGAAGAAGAGAGGAGAGAGCAGGAGAGAGAGGAAACGAAAAAGGTTGCTGAGCGGGCCACTGAAAACATACCGGACAGCTACACTATAACGGCTAAGAAGGAGAAGAAGAAGAAAAGGGGAAAAAATGCCGAGCCGGAACCAGAGCCTCTTCCACCTCCGCCCCCTCCCGCTCCCGAGATAAAGATTGCCGAAACTTTTGACGACATTAAATTGGATGATAAGCCAAAGCCCGACCTAAATCTAGACTCTGGTGGAAGTACTGCAAGCCCAAAATTACCTGGTGTTCTAGGTGGTTGGGGTAGTAGTTGGATTACTGGAGTGTCTAAATGGGGCATTGGAAGCGCAACCAGCGCAAGGACACCATCTCCAGTGAACAAGGCCACCGAGGATGCCAACAATCCTTGGAGTAATGAACGCGGTAAGCCCGAAAATCAAGGCCTGGGATTTACATTCGGTGCCCTTGACCAGGAGGAAACTAAACGCAGCTTAACAGATTCCCGGAAAATCGAAAAAAAGCCCGAGCCAAAGCCTGAACAGAAACCCGAACCTATACCAGAAGAAGACCTTGGGTTTAATATTGGCGTTTCTAAGAGAGAAGAGAGGAAGAAGAAAAGTAGAGGCACCGTAGCTTCAGCGATAGATAAGTTTGAAGTGGCCCCAAAAGAAGAACCCAAAGTGGAACCTCCGAAACCCATCAATATTCCTGCTTCGGACGATGCTGCTTGGGGTGCTTGGGGTGCTACAAGCAAAAAGATGAAAGGTAAATCAGCCAATGAAACCCCTAAAATCAACGAACCCCCCAAAATGGAAGCCGTAGTCGAGCCTGTTGTGGAGCCTCTCGTAGGACCTCCTGTAGAAGAGAAATCAGCTACTCCTCCTCCTGAGCCTGCCCTTGTGGAAGAAGCCTCGAAATTTGGAACAACATCCAAGAAGATCAAAAAAAAAAAGGGAATACTTGCTGAAACATCAAAACCAGAAGAGTCACCTCCACCGGATCCTATACCCGAGCCCGAAAAAGACCTAGAGCCCGATCCTGTTCGCGAATGGGCGAAAGAGGAAGAGTCAATTTCTGCTTGGGGCAATACTAAATCGGGTAAGAAAAAAAAGGGGAAGAATGCAATTATTGACGAACTGCCAAGAGTAGAAAAATCACCGCCAGTCATTGAACCACCGGAGCCCGAACCTGTAATTGAGGACAACAAAGAAGAAGAAAAAGAAGAAGAGGGTGGCTGGGGAGGATGGGGACTTAGTAAAAAGGAACAGAAAAAGAAGAAGAGAATTGCAGAAGAGCCGCTTCCTCCCCCAGAGCCCGAAAGAGAACCTACACCAGAGCCCGAACCCGAACCCGAACCCGTACCGGAACCGGAACCGGCAATCGAACCACCGCAACCCGAATCAGGCAGGGGAGCCAAGTCAACCAAGAAAGAAAAGAAGAGGAAAGGTAAGCACGCTGTTATGGAATCGGAAGTTGTGAAGGCACCAACACCGCCGCCGCCTGAACCCGAACCAGAATCAGAACAAGATGAACCTGCAGAAGAAACTCAAGCATGGGACTCGTGGGGACTTAGCAGTTCTACAAAGGACAAGAAAATGAAATCCAAGGAGGAAAATTTGCCAACAGCTCCAGCGATTGGTGGCTTTGATTGGGGATTTGATAACAAAGAGAAAGATGAGGAGCCACTGGAAGAAGAATTCCAAGATCCAGAACCCGAACCGGCCCCGAAATCTGTTGAATCTGTAGGTATTTGGAGTGCTCTTACCTCGAGCAAAAAGAAAGATAAAACCTCGAGCAAAGAGAAGGACAGGATCTCTAGCAAGGACAAAGATAAGAAGAAGATCAAGAAGGGCACTGAGGAACCCAGAACCATTAATGACTATGAGGAACCTATACCTGCACCGGCTCCTGACCCACCTCCAGCTGTTACGGACAATTTTAGCTGGGGGTATAATTCTACTTCCAAGAGGGACAAAAAGAAGGGGAGTAGAAACAAGGAACCTTCGCCCGAGCTTGAGAGTAAGCCGATTTATGAAGCCATAGAACCTGCAAATAATGATGACGACTGGATGAATTGGGGGCAAAACACCAAGAGCAAAGAAGAATCTCTACTCCCTGTTGATGAGTTTGAAGAGCCCATGTCGCCTCCACCGGTACCAGACGCCCCACCAGCTGTTGATGATTTCATGGGATGGGGCTCTTCTTCGAAGGACAAGAGGAAGAAAAATAACCTTATTGAAGAACCTCCCAAAGCTGAATCATTCAAGGATTCTAAATTCGATGACTTTTTCAGTCCGGTTTCATCTAAACCAGCAGTCAAACTCACCAAAAAAGAACAGAGGGATGCGGATAAAGCTAGAAGGAAAGCTGAAAAAGAAGAAGCTGAACGGAAATTAATAGAAGAGGAAGAGGAGGCAGCTAGATTGGAAGCTGAGGAGAAAGAAAGACTTGAGCAAGAGAGACTTGAGCAAGAGAGACTTGAGCAAGAAAGACTCGAAGCGGAAGAGCGAGAAAGGGTTGAAGCAGAAGAGAAAGCGAAGGCCGAAGAATCCGAATCCGAATCCGAACCAGAGCCTCCCAAAAACGATTGGAGTTCAATCTGGGGTCTTGCCTCAGGTAGTAAACCAGATAAAAAGAGTGAGAAAAAGAGCAAGAAAAAGAGTGCCCTTGAGATTGAAGCTCCACCTCCAGCCCCAACACCCCCAGCAGAACCTGAAACAGATAACTTGTGGGGCTTTGGATCTTCATCAAAGAAATCAAAATCCAAGGAGAAAGAATCCCCGCCTGTCAAACTCAACAAGAAGGAACAAAAAGAAGCTGACAAGGCGACAGAGAAAGCTAGAAGGAAGGCTGAAAAGGAGGAGGCTGAAAGGAAATTGAAAGAAGAGCAAGAAGAGGCAGATAGATTGAAAGCTGAAGAGCAAGAAAGACTCGAAGCCGAGGAGCAAGAACGAATCGAAGCTGAAGAGCAAGAACGAGTCGAAGCTGAAGAGCAAGCGAGAGTCGAGGCCGAGGCTTTGGAAGCCGAAGAGCAAGCTAGGATTGAAGCCATAAGATTAGCAGAAGAGGCTGAAGCAGCCAAACCGAAAGTCAAATTGACAAAGAGACAACAGAGAGAAGCCGATCGATTAGCAAAGCTGGAAGCTGAAAAAGAACAAGCCGCAAAAGAGGCCGAAGAAGAAGCTGCTCAGGAAGCCGAGGAGAAAAGAGCAAGAGAGGAGGAAGAAAGAGCAAGAGAGGAGGAAGAACGAATTATCAGACAGGAAGAAGAAGCCGCTAGAGAAGAAATGGAGCGTGTCAATCAAGAAGCGGAGAGGAAAGCTCTCAGAGAGGAGGCCGAAGCTTCTAGGCGGCTTAGAAAAGAATCAAAATCAGGTAAGGGTAAGAAGTCTAAACACAGCAAAGAGCCGGAACCTCTCCCTCCAACACCACCACCGCCGCCATCGCCGCCCATACCAACCAAAGCTCCGACACCAGAGCCAGATGAAGACCTAGAACCAACTCAAGAAGAAATAGATGAAATTCTAGCTTTAGGTAATCGCACAACAACCACAAAGCCAGCATCTCAAGCTTTTAGCTTTTGGGGAGCTCCTAAAAAATCACCAGTGATAGAGAAGCCGTCACCAAAAAAGGATAGTAGTGAATTTGGTAAGACTAATCTTGCCGAGGCATCCACCAAGGATCTTATGGCTTGGGGCACGGGATCAGACGAGATTGCGATTGCTGACAAAGCGACGTGCCCAGAAACCTCATCCAAGAACAAGGACACGACAACCAAATGGCCACCACCATCAATAAAATCAAGCTTATTAAAGAAACCAGTTGGAGGTACTATCGCTGATAGGTTAAGAGCATTTGAAGCGAACAAACCCCCTGAAGAGCTTCATGAATCTGAAGAAGAAATAGATGAATATTTCCCAGCACCTTCTCCACCCCCACCTGCTGCGCCGCCCGCGCCGACCAAGGAAGAAAAGAGAAAATCAAGATCTTCGAGAAGGGACAAGGAAAGGTTAGAAGATCCGGAAATTCTTCCTGGTGCATTCCCGGATTTTGCAAACGGTGACGAAATTATTGATATTGTCGAGATGCCAATCCAAAAGAAAAATAGGAACAAATCTAGTAAGAGCAAGGAATCTTCTAGAGCACCTCCTGTACCCATTGAACCACCGACACCACCTCCTGAAGTAGAACTGGAACCGGAACAAGACTCGGATCATAAATCTAAGAAAGAACGACCTCGAGTTGTTCGCGATGGATCTTCTTGGGGAGCGTGGGGAGCAGAGCCTCGCAAGGAAGAAAGGGAGAAAAAGTCATCCAGAGACCGTGAACGTAGATCCGATGAGCCTCAAATCGCTAGAGAGGAAAGAAGATCTACCAGGGAATCTGACCCTCGGCACTCTAAATCTAGAAGATCATCTACTAGAGAAGACAAGACTTCTTCACCAAAAGACTCATCTTCGGACAAAGCAGATAAATCCTCCAAGGGAGATAACAGACCACCAGTTTCTAGGGGAATTTCAAATATGTTTGGACCTGCTACTCCACTATCGAGGTCTAATTCAAAGCCTGAAAGGCGGCCAAGTGTGAGTAGGACAAGCTCACGCCGACAATCTGTCAACATGGATAGCTCCAGCTATGCAACTCCAATTCCCGATGATTCTCGTGAGCCTCCTCCGATGTCCGCAAAGGCTGCAAAAATGTTTGGTATCGGTGTCCCTGGCAAGCTTTCAAGAAGCAAGTCGGAAAAGACCAGGCCATCACGTGGTACGTAAACCCATTAGGGTATCATAATTATTACTTATGCTAACTTCAATTATGAAGATGATGACGTGGTAGATGATGACGTGGCAGATCCTATTCGTCACAGGTCTAGTCGCGATAGAAAAGGGAAATCAAAGGTGACTGATGACTCAATGTTTGATGGGCAAGCGCTTCCACCTGTGCCTATGCCTCCGCCACCCACGGATATACCAATTCGAAGGAAGACCATGCCTACCACAGACTGGAGTGCCAGTGCTAGAGCATATCAACAAAGAAGACAACTAAACGATCTTGATATGGAAGAACAAGGAGGTCCTTCTGAAATCCCAGGTACACCTGGACTCAAACGAACTGATTCGAGTGCTCGCAAATCTGGACTGGGTGGTATGTTTGGTGGCGTTTTTGGGAAAAAAGATAAAGAAAAGGATCGTCCAGACCTTAAACGTCGTAGTACGGCCCAAGCTGAAGATGAGAACCGTGCATACAGACGGGACGAACGAAAGAATAGACGATCTTCAAGAGATGTAGGTCCCGAGATTGATGTCACTATGACAGGTGCCATTTCCGAGGAAGACCAGGAGGCAAAAATAGCAGCTCGCCTCGCGAGGAAAGCTGAACGCGCTGAACGCGATGCACGAGCAGCAAAGGGGGAGTCAAGAAGAGAGCGCCAAAGAAGGGAGGAGGAAGACGAAAGACAGGCTGCTAAACGAGAAAAACGACGTGCTCTTGAAGCTGCTGAAGCTGCTGAACGTCGGGTCGAAGAGGAGCGAGAGGCAAAAGAGGCAAAAGAGGCCGAACGTGCTGAACGCCGAAGAGCCAGAAAAGAAGAGAAAGAGGCTTTCCAAGCAGATGGTGAGCCACGAGGTGAAGATCCATTGCGCTCCACACGTCGACGCAGTCACAAGGATCCCGACGATAATGAGGCACGTCGAAGAAGACATAGAGAACGGGTAAAATCATCAGATCCTCGAAAATCGAGTCGCAAGTCTGCACCTGCTCCAGAGCCGGAATTTCTTCCTGCAGATGGCCCAGTCTACAGTCGTTCGAAGCCCAAGACTCCAGCTTGGCCTCATAGTGGTACAGATTCTTGGGTGAGAGAGAATGCAGATGCACCCCCTCCACCCAACTTCCCCACCGGTGAAGCATCCCCTGTTGATGATACAGTTGGTGGAGAGGCTGAGAGAAAACGAATGAGAAAGACAAGGCCAATGGGAAATGATGATGATAGACGACGAAGAAAAGATGAGAAAAGACGCGAAAAGGAGAAGGAGACAGAGAAGCCTACAAGAAGCTCAGAAGGCAGTCAAGAAGATCCTTTACGAGAAAGTCAGAGAGACTCCGGTTTCGAGACGTCCCGCGCGCCGAGTGCTTCTGGCGGCCTCTTCGGTCGTTGGAAGAAATTTGGTGGGTTTTAATGAAATGGAATGGAATGATTTTATTACGGAATGAGATACGAATATACGACCTACTGTGTTATTCTGATTATGGGAACTGGGTAGTATGAGCGTATGTATTTTAATGTTATTCTCATGTTTTGTTTTCTTGTTATTATAGCGAGCGAGCGAAGAGGTTTTGGAAAGATTTGAATATCAGGGGATTCATCAGGTGTTGGACTACAAAACACTGATGGTGGCAGAGACGGTCTCGTCGTTCTCTTATATTGTATACCCTTACTATGTTTTTTTAATATGTTATACTGTACGCAGCAAAGTATTGTACACGTCAAGTTCAACAAATCACCACCAATAAGATATCTTTAAATGCTCTACCAATCCGAGGCATCACACCTTTCAAAGTTTTCTATCCAATACTCACAGAACAATAGCAAATAGCCAACCTCCAAATTACGACCCTCCAACTCCGATGTATACTAGTTCGAGCATCATGATTTTGATTGAAGAGTAGAAATCATGTTTCATTCTCATACTCATTGTATCTGAAGTCTATGCTGTCATGTCAATACATCACCTGATGTGATACGATAGATAGGTACGATTGATACGATACGAGACTTCTTTCTTTTGTATCCCGAGTACTGTACAAGCAAAGCACCTGCCAAAATCAAGTCAAAGGGAACAATTCGCTGAATATAGTAATCGGGAGTCTATGGTGGGGCCAAGTTGCACGGCATGTCGGAGTTGCCAATGTACGCTTAACCAAGCTAGGCTATTTTATCCTGCTAAAATGCTGGAACACAGAGTTTATGAGTGGTTATGAACGACTAATGTCGGTTACTCGTGGCTGTTGTATGGCTAAATGTAGAGCCAGTAGATAAGGAGTCTTATCGTTTGAGAGGGTCACTAGGACATTTCCTTGAGCCATATCAGAGTTGGGTGCTTGGGTATCAGATACCACGATATGACGTTTCCCTGTATAGTACGTCTGTACGTAGTTCGTGTATAGTATTGAGGGGAACAGAAGTGAGTGGAGAAGGCTGCACACCACTTCTTTTTATCTCGTCCACTTGGATCGAGGATTACAATCTGATCTTGATGCTTCCTTCATCTATCACGATTTCCTTTCCCTAATCGAGATGGCTTTGTCCATGGTCGAAGCTTATATGTTTTGGGGGTATCAAAGGTATTTCAAGAAAATGCTTGTGTTTATATTTGACGCAGATTCTCATCTTCGGCGCTCGGTGTAATTTTTGATATTAGATTTCAAAGTATACTTCTTTCCAGAGTCGCTATCTCGTTTTCTATTCATCGAGAGCTTTCTTGCGAGATGATATAGCCTGATTTTATCGCATTTATTATCCGTTTACAGCTGCATACCTGATGTGTTGACAACCTATCTATCAAGTATCCTCTTATACCATCTCCATCTCACTCAAACACTATTGTCTACACTTGTATCTATCACACATTCCAAACACACAACGAGATTCATCAACGTTGTTCCCCTCACAGAACATCACACAAAAGTACGGAAAGCTTAGCACTCATTGATGGTGCGCAAGTGACACGATGATCGCGATCGATACCACTTTGATATACAACCAATGGCCTCTTGGCCTTGGTGTAATAGGTTTGTTACTCACAGTGATTACACTTATGTATACCCAAAATTGGCACAAGTCCCTATTCAACAAACTTCATATTAAACATCGACGTGCATCTACGTCGGCAACACCACCTCGTTCGTTGTCTCCAAGCAAAAAAGTTACCGACAGATCGTTGAACTCCATCAGCAAAGCTCCAAATTATTACGATGTATTGCCCCCCTCCAGACGTTCCACGCTCCCAGATGTTGCAAATTACATTCCTCCACGATTCGGCACCATCTTGACCTCGAATAATCCATCAATTGAACACATGGCAGAGAACAAACTACCTATGACTCAATCTTATACGCTCGGCTTTGAAACTCCAAAATATACACCTATGGGATTTTCTACCCAAGAGGTTAATGCTATGGGCGATTTCCCACCTTACGATATCTTAGCCGGAGTCCCGTTGCCGCAACCCTACGAAGGATTCAACCCTGAAAAAGCGCTTCCAAGACCATACAGACCTATGCGATGGCAATACCATCAGACCATGTGTAATTATAACCCCAGATTTAACTCAAAATATACTAATCATGATTTAGCTTTTCAAAAAATGGAACCTGACTGGTGGCTCGAGATCGAAAATACATATTGTTCCCGCATCGCCGAACGTCAAGGGCTATTCAAACAATACGGCAAAATGGTTCTTGATTACCTCCCAGGAAGCGAACTTGTCACTAAAGAACTTATGGAAATGTGTCTGCAATTCTATTGCGCACGCTACCCGGCATACTTCTCCCTTTCGGACGATAAAAGAACATTTCACAATGCGCTCCTCAAAACTACAACTGAAATTAAATCCATGCATCCTCTTCATGTCCTGCTCAACAATGTCCCCGAAGATTTCGCAATTGTCATGAGAAATGATGAAGACGGAATGTACTATTTCCGCGCCGGCGTCATCTGCAGCTCGCTGGGCTGGAACGTTTCCACTAAAATTGGATTGAAGCTCGATGCCATTCATAAACCCATCCCAGATTACAAAGAGAAAATGTCGTTTAGTATGGATCGCTTCTTTACCAAAATGTCCGCCGATGCTCCGATTCAACGTGGTAGCTGGGGTCTTGAAATTGACTCACCTTTGTTTATGCCAGCCGGTCACCCGCATGAGAAGTTGAGAGAAATCCAGAAGGAAGATTTGACCATCGAAGAATGCCATTTGAGAGTGGATTGGCAGACTTTAAGACGACTGCCATTGAGTGGAGGCGTAGTGTTTAATTTCAAGGCGCTCTTCACGCCAGTGACGGAATTCAGGAATGAACCATATGTTCCAGCATTGCTGTGCAAGATTCTGAAAGAGGGAAAGAAGAGTTTGATGGAGTATAAGGGGACTTGGCATGTAGAGCATGTGGTCATACCGGCGATGGAGATGTGGGCAAAGGAACAGGTGGAAAAGGGATTGGTGGTGCCGCAGGAGGGAGAGGAAGTCTGGAAAGAGGAGACGTTGGCTGAGAGTCCGTATTTTCCGGGATGGGAAGAAAAGTGGCATAGGCAGCAAGGGTTTTAGTTGGGGCGTGTGTGCGGGTCTGGAGCTAGCTTTGATAAAGAGGGTGTGCGAGCTTTCGAGAGACCAAGAACTGGAAGTTCTTTGTGGACTGCAATTATTAGTTATGCATTGAAGTCTTGCTATCTACTCTACTGTCAGTTCTTTTTCAAAATCGTCTTTTGGGCGTTAGTTTATGACTATCACAATGAATGAGAGAGGTTCTACACCTCCGCACGAGAGAAATTCACACAGACGAATACTTTCACCACAAAAGTCTCCATGAGTCCCTGTTTGTAGGTTGCGCGACATGTAGCTAGAACACCTCTGTGATTGGCGTGAGAATTGTCCCAATATCAAGTATATGACATAGAATCCACAATTACAAGCGCAGCCAGTGGTGAAGGACATCGATGCCGTCATCGTATTAAGAATCTATCCGCCCCCCAATCTGAGTCCAACTATCAGAGTGAGAATTCAATCCAAAGGTCAATCTTGGTCTGTCAATCTTGGTCTGTCAATCTTGGTCTGTGGAATAAATGACTAACATTCAAAAGTACGTGAGTGTTCTCGTTCTGTGAGAATCAGTAGTGTTGGTTCATCTTGAATAGTTCCGACGGGAAAAAGATATTCATCTCCTTTTAAAATATCGCTAGATTTATCATTCGCCTGCATCGAGTAATGAATGGCTACGCGTAAAATCATTGGGCTTTGGTAAGAATCGAATCTTGCTGGAATGTAATGTGATAGAGATAGATATCTTGGAGATTAGTACAAATATAATATGTGGGTTGAGAAGGCGTTTGTGGATTGCGCATTTTGCGAGGGATGAATCGCTAAGAAAGGGGTTGTAAGGATGGATACGTCTAGGTGTTGTGTAGTCGAAGATGAAGTATTGATGTTTTTGGATCTTTCTAGGGTAGTAAGAGATTGGTAAATTTTATAGCTTTGAGATTTGGAAATCTGTGGTGTCTAAATATTTCCTAGCGCTGTGGGGCAGAGTATTCAAACTTGTACTTGCTTGCTCCTGGCAGTATAACAATTCCGTCATGTATAATATGAAAGACTTGTGATTAACACCGTCATGTGCGAAAAACTCTATTGTTTCCCGCGCATCTTCATGTACCTAGGAATTCCCCAATCAAGCTTGCGACCTCCTCTCCCCTCGTGATTGGGAATTCATGACCCGCGCTCTCGATAACTTTCCAGGCAATTTTCTCATCAAAGATATCACCCCCATCGTCTCTCGTTCCGAACCTTTCTCCCACCACCACCTTTAAGTCTTCTTCTAACTCTTCTGCCACAATAACATCATCATGTTCTCCTACTATGACCAGAATTTTATCTCTCTCGTTGCGTTCACTCTTCTCCTGGCCTTCGATTCTGTTCCTTGAGCCCCACAGTTTCTTGTAAGTTTCCTTGCGTCCGGATATCGAAGCATGCATGATTGAACTCGCAAATGCATTTGCATATCCCTGATGCTGCTGTGTTTGCCATCGCATCACTTGTCCTACGGTTATATGCGGTAGCAGAGATGATATAGGTGTATCATCAAATGGTAATCTAGTATCTGAGTTCGTTGCAGCAGAAGAAGCGGGAACCGCGGCTGTGAGTTCCGAGTCTACTTGTCCTTGGCTCTCATATTGTTCATTATCAAATTGCGGATCAGAGATTTGGAGAGAAGTAGGAGGAGAAGATGAAGAATTTGGCACGGTATCATATGCCCCTCTCACTCTTCTCCTAAGAATCCACCCCCATAGTCCATCAGGAAACCACCACTTCCTCATCGTCTTTCCTTTCCAACCAAAATGTTCCTCTCTGATCAGACCCGCTGGCGCCAACAAAATTACATCCTTCACCATCTTTGGAAATGCTACTGCGAAATCCACCACAATGCCGCCACCCAGGGAGAAGCCAAGAATGTGAAACCCATCCCCAACCCAAGATAGCGAAGAAGAAGTGAGCACAAGCAAAATCTGCGTCGTGTGAAGTCTCTCATCATGCGGCAAATCACTTACACCATCCGAATATCCTCTTCCAAAAAGATCGAAAAGGAGAACTCTGCATCCGTGCGTGGTAGCGAGAGTAGTAGCGAGGGAGTGGAGAGCAATACACGGAGTGGATATCCCATGGATGAGGAGAACTTTGGGGCCGGTCACCGGACCAAATTCATACGCTCGTGTGCTGCCATACTGTACTATTCGTTAGACTGTGTGATGCCATGGAAGAGGGAGAATTTTCGGATTGGGAGTTAACGAACGGGACTGGGTACGTCACGGGCGCCGGGAAATATGTCCGGCGGGTAAGGTAATGTGGATATTTCTTCGTGGGACAACGTAGGAATTTGGGTCTTTAAAGGACTGGGAATTATATGAGAATTCGTCTTTGCGTCAGATTTTGATTCTGACGGAGCAATTCTGGTGACATGTGCAGGTGCACAAGTATCGCGAAGTGTCAAGAAAATCAATGAAGTAGTTGCCAAGCCGGCAAAGAGAGATATGGGAATGCCGAGGGAGCGGTCTGGTACTATGTTTGCGAAGGTGTTGTGTATGGAGCTGAGACTTTGGGGAATGGTACCCGTGGAAAGCATCTTTTTATAGACAGACACAAGAATGGATGATTTTGGGAATTGGTGTCAATATCGATTTTCGTACTTGGGCGCTCGCTGTGTTATCGGGGGTATGGGTCGGACGGCTGGATTGCCGAAGCACTTCCGAGCGGTGGACATATCACGTGTAGCTATGGGGGATTCTGTTGAAATTTGGTCGTCTCTTGGTATGTTCAATGGTAGAGAAAGAGAGAATAAGGGCAATTTCAACTTTGACACAAGGGGTTGACGTTTGGGGAAGTTGGTGGTCAAAATGCGTAGTAATGGCTGCAAGGAAACAGAAAAAATGGCTCGGAATACTTCATCCTACTAGTTCTCGGAGAGTATCCATCTACTTCAAGGAACATAACTAGATGCATCTTTGAAATTAGAACGTCGACTAGGACAGCGAGGAGTTGCTCATACTTAGGTAACACAGGACTCCCAATTTCATCCAGCAGCTGAGATACCTTTGTATTCAAATCTTAGGTAGGTGTGCTTATACTATTATTAGTTTCCCATTATCTGACGTTTTCCCCATTTGTAGGGTGTGTTATTATCTCATGCCGAATGTGATTTTAGTGATATATGACAGAAATGGCTAGCCGAATCATGTGATCATGTTCGAGCCGTTCTAAACACGCCCCTTGGTGATTGCTAGGTGACTCCAATGTCATACATCGTACTTTCCAATCGTAATAAAATAAGCACAGCAAATCGGATTCTAAACAAAAACAAGGGAATCCGTTCAAGATATCGTTCTCAAATACCGTGCGAGATTTGCAATATGCCGGTACTTCTATTAAACTTCTTGTCTAACCAATGGAAATACATGATTAAACAACTGATCTTCATGGTATGCATACATATTTCTATACCCGTCCCATGATCTGATTCCCTGGAGCATAGGTATAAATTATTGTGCCTAGGTTCTCATTTCTTGCGGCAACGGACCGCAAATGCAACATGTACGTGATGCTAGACATTGTCTCTTTCAGCTATCTGATTCGATGAAAAGGAAATCATTCATGAGAAGGATGGAGGCTAAGAATGGGGTCACGCAGGCTGCGGCAGGATGGGTGGATATGCAGAGCGAGACGCTACTGCGAAATTGATAGCGGGCGGCAGGATCTGGAAATGGAGAGAAGGATGGATACATGTGACAAGGGATGATGATGTTTCTAAGATGGATTAGAAATGGTATCGGATAGGATGGGATAGGCGTGATAATTTGATGATTGGATTCTCGTGAAATCATGGGGATGTGAGGAAGAAGTCAGTCAGATTCAATTCGAGTGTGAGGTGAGGAATAAAGTACAAGACATTTGATTGTATCGTTGAATGGATAAGACATCAAGACTTGTGTCGGAGAGATCGGACTAAGCTGACTCATACGCGTAAAATGTAACGCGAAATCGCGTCTACACGCGTCTTATCTTCCTTGTGTGCCCCTCTATTTGGGAAATTATAAGACTTTAGGATGACAGGGGATGGGAAAATGATACTTCAGATTCACGACTTTTTCAGGGATTCCAGAAAGTCGGTGGCATTGATTATGTTGAAAACCGTTTTACATGCGAGGATGCTTGAGGTTGTGTGCAGGAGCTACATCGATAATAGATAGATAAGAAGGAACTTTGTAAGGAGGGTTTTTACTTCAATTAACCTCACAACGGTAATGATATCTGATAAATGTTCTCATCCAAAGAGAAATCATTTAAGAATGATGAGCCGTAGCAAGAGAGATTTGATAGGCGTACTGTAGCCACACCCTGAATTGAACGCAGAGGAGAGACTAATGCTGCAGGAAGGGTACAAACTATTTCTCTTAGCACACAACGTGTTCGGACGAAGCCTAAGTTGACTAAAGGGAGACTAGCAAAAGAGGCATTTCAAAAGCCATTTGGATCTCAAATATACAAATTGGGATACGATGGAGTGAATTGTAAAGGGCGAAGGGCGTATCTAGGTAATCATGACCTGACTATCTCACTAACTCATACTTCACTTCTTAGCAAGACACTAGACGTTACCTCAAACGACTCTTGGAGCAAAGGGGGGGGGGGGAAGAGGGGGAGAAGCTTCTTCCCGAAATTTGATAGATGGCTTGATGGAATATAAATTAAATGGAAACTAGAAAGGAGTTGGCCGACTCAATTTCCGTGTTAGCTGAGTTTGTATGAGTGGTAGGAAGTTTGCACTCCAAGCTTTTCAGTTCCATCCAGTAGAAGTAGTAATGAGATATCTGGAAATGTTGTGGAACAGTGTGATGTTTATACGGTACAGTGGTACAGTGGTACAACTTACAAGAGTAGTTGGAGTCTGGAGTCTGGAGTCTTGAGTTGACTCGGGATGAATGGCAAGGGGTGTGGTATAGAGGAAAAGAGGGCAGTATCTTGTTGTAATGGTGACTACTATGAAAGCGAGGAGGAACTGAGAGATTAGTTAACAGAGGGGAAAGATAGGATCTCGTCATCCCTCTTACCGGAAGACTAGATTGAGGGATATTTCGAGATGGGAGAGAAATTGATATCTGTAGAAGTACTAGTAGCAGTAACAGTACTGTTGCTAGTTCTCGTCATGCTCTAGTAGGTAGTCTTCTTTTCTTCCCTTTCTTCTTTTGTTCTTTCACTTCACTTCACTCCACTTGATTTCTGCCTTGATTGTTTCCATGCTTCACTCAATCCAATCTTCGCCAGAGCAGAAAGACAAACTTCCAATTTATTACTATCAAGAACCTGGAAGGGATTGAGTTTCGCCATTTTATTTTGATCCCTGTCTCATTTATTAGTTTATTTAGCGTCTCCATACTCTCCGTAATCCGTAAATGTCTAATGCAGCATCGATCACACGTTCACAAGTTCACAAGTTCACACTTTACACATCCCTGTCGTAATTGTGCAGTTCGCGATCATTATTAACATAACCCAGCTATCCGCCCCGTTTGTTCACTTTGGCCCTCTTGTTCGTCCTTTCTCGTCAAATAGCAACGGAAACGATATATCAAAACGGTCAAAAATCATAACCTAATTGGAAATATCACCACACCTTCTTTGTCGCATACCAATATTAAAGCTTCTAGCGATAGAAGAAACTGGTGCGAATCTTTTGATTTATCTTTCAAGAAAGAAAGAAAAGTTTACAAGCCTTCGACGCTTTCCGGCGCATTATTGTTAGGCGTCGGTCGCAAACCATCACTTTGCTTTTTGTCTGGAAAGTAGACAAATAACACTCATTGTTACCTACAACATTCAACCTTCAAAATAAAATCAACATCTCAAGAAAGTCCAAGCTTGTATCGTGAAATCACAATATAGTGAAAGATGTTATTACCGTCCGCATTCGCCTGTGCCGATTCATCGCAAGCACTTTCTCAACCATCTCGAAATCACAACCTTCTATTCGCATCACCACCTCTCTCTCCTACTCCTTCACTATCTCCCACACCTACTATCAGCAATCTATTTCAATCATGTCGCGCTCTGCAATCTATGCTCACAACCCCGACACAATTACCTTCGCCACCCACACTTCATGCAGAAATTTCTTCATCACCTCCCACTAGGACTTCCAATCCGAGACTTAGATTGCGCATACCATCTACTGCCAAGAGAGTCGTACCAGAAACTGGGGATAGGAAACGCATCTCGAAACGAACACCGAGAGAAATTCCAAGAGGAATCAACAAGAGGAGGAGGGAGACGGATGATGATATGATTCACGAGAGGATGGATGATGTCTCGGAACAAGAGCACGAAGAGTCAACACTTCGAGCTCCCAGCACACCTAAACGCAGGCGGAGAATCGCACCAGAGGTTTTACCGTTAGGGTTAGAGAGAAGCGATTTCCATACGCTACGCTTAGCCGAGATGGAGAATACTGCTGCTGACGATGGCGCATTCATCTTCAGTGCTGGGGGTGATTCACAGCCTCGTGAGAGTGAAGCGCAAAGAAATGAGGAAGAAGACCAAGATAGGGAGAATTGGTCAAGGGAGGAAGATAGAATGTTAGTGGAGTTGGTGTTGGAAAAGCTCAAGTTGAGTAAAAGTGATTGGCAAGATTGCGCGAGGAGTTTAGGGAAGGATAGGGGGAATCTAGGGAGGAGATGGAAGACTCTAATGGGTGCTGGGGAAGTGGGTTTGAAGGGAAGGAGAAAGACCAGGACAAAGTTGAACTCTACTTGGAGTTAGTTTTCTGCTGCCTGTGAATATTTGGGGTGATGCAGGGTCGCAAATGGTCTACTTGTTTACTTGCAGTATGCATTCGAACTGTTTTAGAGAACATAATTCATGTCATAATACAGGTATATTGGGATCCGGGAAGGATATTAGCGAATGGAGTCACATGTATATCTACAAGCTCTCGATGCTTTGATCGGAAAGGGCGGATGTACCTTGAAAATTGGCGTACAGCCACAGTATTAGGGCTTGGAATATGGGTTACGCTAGGGAGGAATTGCATCGGAGTTATGGTTAAATGGTCTACTGGGTGTTAGCTAAAGTGCATAGCACTTTGTATAACATGTACCATCTCATTGAGAGTTTTGAACATGACGAGATCTACGTTAGATCATATTGATATTGTGAGATTTTATTCCGTCTTAAATGCCCTCTTCAGATATGATGATATAAGATGAAATAGTCCACAGTAAAAATATCAAGCTAATCCATACAGAAATTCCATTTCGTCTAGCTCTTCATTAATCACTGTCATCTTATAAATTGGGACTTCAGATACATATTAGTGCATCTACTCCCGTAAGTATTGAATCATTTATTTCTTCTATATTTCCACATCCGCTTATGCCATCCTCTATCTCTATCCAACTGACTTCTAATTCCCTATCACAAATGGAAAGATAGTATGCCGCATTACCAGCACAGCTAATAGTAATAACTAGACGCCTGTTGAGAGACAAGTCTCCAAAGCCTTTTTGACAAGAATGATCGTAGTGCTACTTCCAGTCCTCATACTTTCATTCCCGCCCATCGCTTTTCTTAATTCTTCCATATGCAGTTTCAAAACATCCTTTGGAGGAATAGGTTAGTATGATAGCCTGATTCAAAGAGAGGCGGGCTTTATATTTCATCAAGACGCAATCAACTAACCTTCTCCGTTCCCACTGCTTCCGGATGTGCTTCCCTCCATCTCGTAACCATACTAGCCGTCTCCAACGACTTCTCCGCCTGCTGAAGCGTGATTTCCCTCCCGCCGAAAAAGAAATCATCGGATTCCGGATTAGACAGTATTCCATCACGGTCGTAGTCGAGTTTCAGAAATTGAGATTCGGGTAAGATGGAAGAGGGAATGGGATGCGGGATATTCCAGGGGAGAGGAAGATTGTCGTACATATCTCGAGAGAGACGGTTAGGGAGTAGCTCGTAGGGAGCCAAAATGTTGCGCTCGAAATTCAGGAAGATCCGGAGGAGTTCGGAGCGGTTGGGTGCGGAGGGATGTGGGTAGTAGGATGCTTGGAAGAGGTTAGTGGGTGGATTTTGGAGGGAGTGAGAGGGGGAGGGGGAAGGGACATAGGGTACTACCGCGTGTCCATAACGCGACCTATATTTTGCGTTAGCAACCTTCTCGTCTCGGTTTATGGTATAAACTTCCACAGTAAAACGTGATTCAACTGAATAGCACAGCGACAAAGGAGAGACTCACCGTTCCTCCGGGCTTCAACGCCTTCGCAACCTGCGCCCAAAACTTATCCATATCAAACCAATGCACCTGTAATTTTCCACAATCAATTAAAGCCCCCAACCATATAAATCGCAGGACCAGCAACACATACCGCCATAGCAACAGTAATCAAATCCACCGTTCCCTCTTCCACCTCCTCCAGTCCCGTAAACTCCTCTCCGCTCCCAACTACCCAAACAATATCCTTCCCGCTCTTCGTCTTTCCCCCCAGTTCCCTAGCAGTCCCTATCATCGCCTCCCCCGCATCACAGCCTATCGCTTCTTCAAAATGTCCCGCGATATCTCGAGTTGCATTTCCGGGTCCACATCCCAGATCAAGCACTAGCTTGAATTGTCCCCCCGTTTTCTCATGGTGATGTATCACCGCCTCGTATAATTTTGAAGGGTAGGAGAGACGGTGCGCGGCGTACTTCGCGGCTTGTGTGCTGGTGTAGTTGCGAAATGTGGGGTCGGAGTTGGGGGGGTTGGTGGGGTCGAGATTGGGAGCGGACATGTTGAGGGATTGAGCGATGGTCTAGTTGGTTGGGAAACGCTTGTTTGTCTATTTTAACGTTTGTGTACCGAGAGCACACACAAGAAAGAATGGGAAAATATGGATAATGATGGAATTTCGCTCGAGCGATAGATTCATGGCTTTCGTCTTTTTATTATGCTGCCTAAACAGGCCGTGGATTTACATGTAAGCTTGAGACCGTTTTCCGAACGGGAACGGGATCACGTCTAGAAGCCGCGTCTCCTGTAGATTGAAGCATTGATCATTGAGCTTATGCAGTTTGAAAGTTGATTGCAGTAGCTGGATTTCTTGCATTGAGTGTAATCTACACCTCCCTTTTTCGTAATCTCATGCATGTTGAAGAATCGGCAATCCACTCTTTTCGTTAGCTTCTCTCATTCTTGTCTGTTATGACTCAGGATTGGGATTTTTGGTCGAGGAAAATATCTTTCGACTACAGAAGCTATTCACGAGCCGGAAATTCATCTAGTTTTCCAATGCTTGATGCCTTCGCTTCATCTGTTTCAATACTCTTCATAGCTAGTTGATTAAGGATTAGGGGGGAACTTTGAGAGAACAGTGAGTCATTGGAAGGGGATACTCGACGAACGGGCTATGGAAATGCAAGTATCGCTTTGAATGTTCTCCGCATCCTCGACAAACGAAGGACACTGAAATAGTGACGGTAGGTGGGCTTTATATGGAATATTTGGCATCTTATGACCTGGAAGTCTTTGGGAATAGCTGTCCAAAAGTATATCCTGCCTAGGAAGGTCCGTCGAAGCCGGCAAGGTGGAAAACTAATATACGATTGCACACAAAGTTCATTTGCTCGGAATCCAGCTACATCTACAGGTTTCTATTATAACAATCACGCAGACGACGTATCTAAATTGTGTCAAACGAATATTATATTTTCTGGAAATTATCTAAAGAGAATCTGTGGAGAAACTGTGCTCATCAAGCAGCACTAGTAGTACTAAAGCACCACCTATCCTACCCTCTGGCCTCATTAAAACCACGATCCTCCCAGTTGTGTTTATGCTGCAACTATCTTTGATGATGTACAGTGCCCCTAAGGGCGACGCTGGTGTGCATATCCAGGTCAAAAAAAAGCGAAATAGGAAACATGAGGGGAATTTTGGAAAAGAGAAAGAAGAAAAGAAAAATGATGATTCGTCAGTTCCGCCACGCTACGTGAGCTTTCTTCGAAGAAGACCGCACGAATTGGGTGGAGGAAAGGGCTGAATCGGAAACACGCTGGTAGTGTAGGGTATCTCAAGAGGATTGTGGGGCTGCAGCAGCTTTCTAGTTGCAAAACCTTCTTGAGTGATTGAGATATGCCAACGCAAAGAGAAGTTAACCAATCATTTCCGGAGGATCTGACCGAAAACGTCAGTTGGAAAGTAGGAGAAGGTGTTGTAAAATCAAACTCAGTTGTCTTCGGGCTCATACTCGTCCTCCTCAGCCTCATTGGCTTCAACTCGGATGCAATCTTCGTTGTCGAAGTCGTCGTGATTGGGTGTCATGCCACGCTCATTTTCATCCGATCGCTCGCTCATGTCCTGACGATTCTCACAGGTAACTTGACCGGTCTGAGCTAGGCTATCAAGAGTGTTGCGTGGTGGTTGGATGCGGGGAGTCTCAACATCACTAGTGGCGGAGACTGTTTTGGTGGATTTACCGTTGCGACGGCGAGTTGCAACCTTACGACGCTTTGGTACATTTGGAAGTGGAGTTCGAGTCTTTAAAGGTGGCTCGAGTTCAGCCTCGTCGGTGCCGGTATCCTCCATTGTCTCGAGAGTAGGTTTTCTCAAAAGATTCCGCTGAGCGGCCTCCTTTCTCTCCTTACGCTGCTCCTCTATAGGAAGCTTCTGAATCCAGTCCCAGTCCAACTCATAATGAGTATCACCCTCCTCAGCTGCGTAGCCGGGAGGAAGCTGGCGCTTCTTGGATTTCTTTGCAGCAGCTTTGTTGGTCTTGGCTCGCGATGGACGTAAGGGGGTGGGGGTGTTAACAGCCATGTTGCTGAATTTGCCTGAAGCGATAGCCCTCGAGTTAGCCAATCTCTCAGATGCCGTCATGGGTCTGACTGGCTTTGGTTCAGATCGCGGCTTGTGGAACATATGGTCTCTAAAACCATTATGCCCCCGAGTCATAGCATTAACCTTTGTTTTGGCTTCCCATTCCAACTCTGCGAGAACAGGAAAATGTATCTTATCGTCAGACACTCTAAGCACACAATCCTGACAAAATTGAATATTGCAGCAACGACATCGTTGCATGACCTTTCCGTCTTCCTCTTTGTCCTGGGCCTCAACCTTTTGATTGCAAATGTCGCACTTGGTGGTGCGTACAACAACTTGCTTAAACTCGGTATGTCTACTAGGAGCAGGAGAGATCCAAACCCCGGTGTTTGGTAGACTGTCAAAGTCAGGGATGTATCGACGCTGTGACACAATAGAGCGTTTGAAGGTATTGGTGGCGGTGGTGTCTGATTTGGAGTGCACTTCCGACGAAGAGGGGCCAGAGACGCTTTCTCCATCATCATCATCATCATCGTCATCTTCAGAGTAATTGCTCTCATCAAAGCTCTCCTCGCCGACACTATCCTCCCGAGTTGGAAGACTAGTACGACGACGGTTAACCGGAGTCTTCTGAGCCATTGGCTCAAGGTTTTTATGTCCTTTGGGCTTGGCGGGCGGCATGTTGGTTATGTTTGACGGCCTTTCAAGTCTGATAACGGTTCAGATAAGACGTGTGGGACGTTATCGGTCGAAGTGTAAAGCTTTGGCGAAGAATGGAGACAATGATCGCTGGATAGTGGCAGGTGGTGTTAAGTGTTGATTGACTTGGGTCTGACGAATAACCCGATTCGGACGGTACACTCGAGATGGAAGATCGCAAAGGTATCAACCTTCAAAAGAGAATATGGTCCAACTTGAGATAGTAGTATGCAGAGGATAGACGCAGAGGTATATCGCCGGTAATATACTAGCGAATAGTACAGGATAGGCGACGACAACTGTCAAGTCGACGAAAGTGTTGTATTTTTAAGTAGTGTCTAATCGATGGTAGACAGTCGATAAGGTGGAGAATCTGACAACAAATGGTATGTTAGTTTTGTATTTCAACTCAAATGTGAAGGTAAAGAGGATGAGGAAGAACCAAGTGAAAACATGAGTTTGTAGTTTGATGCTAACTGCAAATTGTATGGGGTAATCGAGAAGTTACTTACTTTAAATCTAGATTTGGTGGCAGAGTGATGAGAATATGATCCCTTAGTTCTAAACAGCTACTTGAGGTGTTAGATTGGTGATAAGAATAGATCAATCTTGTGTCAAATCGAATGAAGGGGAAAATGCTGGTTGTGCCATAGCTCAAAGCTGTGTTATGATGGAAGGTTGAGGCTGCTACTTACAAGTGACCTGACGCTGCTGGCAGAGCAAGAAACGCGTAATACTTGAATACTAGACAGCGCCTTCTGTTATCAGACAATTGATGCTGAAAGGCAAGTGATGAGATGTAAGAAGAGGAAGAACAAAGAGTGGAGTGCTATGGACCAAGGGCGTGCTGTAAACTAGGTGGAGATAAACACTTACAAGAATTTTGACTCCGCTGACAGAGCAACAAGCTTGTGATCTTCTAGATCTGAACCACCTTATATATCGTTAGCTTTCTATTAGTGAGAGGAGGTAGTCTGTAAGTCCAATGTTGAATGGACAGCAATGGGAATAGTACTGTTGACCAAGGCGACTTGAGGAGAGAAGGGGGGATATAATACTTACAAGGAACTAATCCTCCTAGCAGCAACGCGACAATATTGTCAGACGTAAGACTAAGCGTTCTAGAAACGATCTCGATCCCTGAATGGAATGTTTGTTCTTTAGAAGGTCGGTGCTAGGTGTTTTGTGCGCAGTTCTAGAAGCGAAAAGATCTGTCTGCAGGTTCACGCAAGTTCAAAGAATATCAAAACCTCTATTAATCACAACTTCAAGATAGAAGAGTGTTTAATCAGTGAGTTGTTATGAGTCTTGAGCTTAGTACAGGTAGAAGGAGATTGAATTTGTGTTGGAATAAAAGAAGGGAGAAGAGAGGTTGAGGCTGTGTTGGATAAGAGTAGGAGGGCTTTGGAGAAAAGTCTTCGAGCCTTTTGAAGGAGATGGGAGACCAAAAGCGGCTTAGCTTCAAGCGCGGGATATTCCAATACCTTGTTATACCTTCTCAACCTAGAAGCCTGTCAGTACGGGTGACTAGGCGGGTAAAGCCGTTGAGAATAAGTGGTACCGTCCCGTCTCCGAGGAAGATCCTGTTGCTGTAGCGTACTGCAGCCTTGCTTTGTGGAGGTTAGCGGGAACTTTTGTTGGAATAACGCGGGAATGAGAAGATTTTTGATTGGAGGATGAGGAAGAAATCTGTAGATGGAAGGGTATAGAAGAAAGAAGTGGTCAGATGCGAGCCGTGAAATTACCTTTATATCAAGCTAAGCGCAAGGACTACAGTAGAATTTTGAGCATTTGGGGCAGTGCTTGGTCATTCAAAGCTCATAGTATTCATTTAAAGTCATTAACTAGTTCGTCCCAGCTTCTGTTGACGTTTTGGATCGTACGATTCACACGATACTGCTATGATTACTACTCAAATCGGCTTGCGAGGGGTTAGTTAAGGCGTCAATGGTGAGCCGAGTGCGAATGATATTGTTGGGAGATGGAGAACGATAATATCACCACTTGTAATACTCCCAAGATTCCTACTCGATTCTGCTTGAGAGTTGTTAGAAGAGCTGTGAATACCGCGCGGAGTACCGGTGATATTATCAGAACATAGTAGATACTGATATAGATTAACCATTTGCATACACTTTATTCTGTCTCCATTTACTAGATATCACCGCTCAGCAATAAAAGAAGCTAGACTAAGCATGTTTGAGTGTATTCGTCATCAAAATATACCCAGTCTCGGCTCCATATTTACATTGTAGACGGATAAGACGCGCATATGTCACTTCAATATTGTGATAGAGTCAAGAGTTCGATGAGATAATGCCTTTCTCATGATGGATGGTCGAATTCAAACTAAGTAGCCGTGTAGTTTTTGTAGATCTTCCGATGTAGTTGAGCTCTAAACGCTGAAGTATCGTTGCTGCCAATATTTCCGGTACTATGGGACGGGAAACAAAATGCCTGGCTGCTGAAGTAAACTCAATGCGAGTCGTAGGCACCTTCTCTGTGAGAATTCTACTCTCTTCATGTAGTTTGCCAATTAAACCACTCATGAGCTGCAAAGAAACTTATGTTCTTTCGCCACCCCCCTTCATTCGTCATCACCCATAAAGTTGTAAGGCCTTGACTCTTTCTGTTATTGAATTTCGGTGCTAATCTTGACTAACAGTACGTGAAATAGAAATTTGACGATCTCTTTTATACTCGCAGCGTTTTAGGAGGCCTATATCAAGAGTTGACAGGTGTGGGAGGTAGGGTTAGAAGTTTTGTCGAGACTCGGTAGACTCAATTACTTTCGCACTATCAAGTTGTTAGCCATGATAACAATCGTTTATGGAAATGAATGAAGTAAATACTCACATCACTAATTCTTATATATCTTCCCAGTGTTTCGCAGAATATCTTCGATATATCGATCACTGCATCTCTGTTGAGAGAAGTGTCAATCTGTGTGAACACGCTGGACTCGCCATCTCCACACCAAACCACCTCGACTAAATCAATTAGTCTGTATTATAATTATCTATGATTGATATGCATGAACCTGTGCGCTTTTCAAGTACAGAGAGGCTTGGAGGCATTCCGTCGGTTAAGAACGCGCAGGTAGTTCAATGGATAGTTGTGACGTTGTAACATGTCGGCAAGCTTTTAGACGACCGGATAGATTCGAGTCTAAGGATGGACCTAGTAAAGCCACTGCTTCTAATCCTGTCCGTCAAGCTGCTAGAGTCTTTAATCCTTAGGAGAGAGTTGGCGTCTAATCGACATGTTACCTTCTAGCTTGATATCTTTTTTTATTGATCATACCAGTCATAGTCCCCTCCTAGCTCCCAAATCTTATAAAATCATTGCTTCGTTGATATCTAAAGGTACTAGGACGGAGCTACTCAATGTTATACACAACTAGTCTCTTGATATATTGTACCCTGCCTCGTTAGCATGGTTTGATCGCATCGTGCTTCCACTCTCCTTCTGAAGGGGTCTGCCAAACTTGCTAATCTTTTGTAATCCTCAGGTCCTTACTATCCTAGTTATATATTTCAAATGAAGAAAGAGCGGCTTCCCCTTTTCCTTCTCCTTTCCACCCTGTATAATATCATCCGGAATAGATTTGACGCCGACAGTCCAAGAGAGGTCAATGCCATGTTCCAAGCCTATGTAATGCACTCTGCGGTGGATTTATCTACATGATGAATCCGCAGGCGGTGTGCGGTTAGTGAGAGTAGATTTGTTTAATGCGAAAGTCAGGCCAGAGAAGAAGAGGGCCTCGTAAGTGGTCGATGGTTGATAGAAGCTTCGGTTGGAGCTGATGTTGATGAAGGTATTGCTGAAAGATAACAGAGTATTCGGAAGACCTCATAGCCACTTCGCAGATCTATGATAGCATTCAAATTGGACAGAGACCTAAATGATCATCCTGCGAGGTTTTTGAAGATGTTGAGGTCCATTGTGACGTTGTTCCCAAACGATACCATATTCGTGCTCCAGGTAAGTCGGCTTGAAAGTTTGAATTGCAGGCGAAGTAGTTCCTTTACGTTAGCTCGCGTGTGAGCTTGAAGTGGTGGCATATCGATAGTTCGAGGTAATACTGGAGTAGAAGGAACTTCGCAAAGTCGATGATTTGAATCGTTGAGGTAAAAATCTAAGAAAGTATGCTACCAAAGGAAAATGAAAGTGCGCGGCTATTTACTACAAATACGATGAGAAGAATTTCGCTTTCGTTAGAAACAGCCGTTGCGCAGACAACATCCGAACACTTGCATCCCTCCCGGGTGTCCAAAGTTCTATCGAAATATGGTGATCTATGGCCAGACTTTCTCAGAAGCTTTTTCATTGCAAGTTATGATCCTGATGTCTTCATTGTGTACTGTCAAAAACTGTCTAAGTTCAAAATTAATGTACTGTCTCTTCGCCTTAGGATATTTTTCAAGATGTTAAACCTCTGATTTATTTCCAAGCTCATGATGTAGGTTCACGTTCAAACGTTGCGAATTCTGACTGCAGGTGGTCGAAGGCATACAGAGTCTGGAAGAGAAGACTAAACCCTTACATTGGCTCATTAGGATTATGATTGCCCGTCTCATCAGTTTATCATCTTTGCTCGCATACTGAAAACTCGACTCGTAAGCTTACATGTGTATAACGCAGCGCAGTCATAGAGCATCAAAACATCGTGGGCGTCACTTTCTTGCTACAAAACGCTCCTATTTCACTAAAGCTCATCGAAGGCCGCCAATCTAGATGTTGAGCACATATTTTATATCACCTTAAGTGAAGTCCCCGAGCATTCCCAGAATATTGAGATGAAGGGGTTTTGTTATGTACTGCGGCCATCGATTCTTGACCACCTTGTAGGTATTCAGAAACAGTTCCCAAAGCTCTGTGATTGGAACTGAAAATTTGAACATAAATGGCAACAGGAAAAATCATGTTGGTTTTCATGCGGTGCCAATACATCTCTACCTAAGCACAAACCTTCAATTTAACACCGGTTATCTCCGAAAGACCTCTTAGCAGCTATTGTTAATAGATATTTTCTTCTCTCTTCCACCCTTTGTTATTTTTGATCTGCCAGAATTTGCAAATTCAGAAAGCAGACCAGACTTAGCTAGCTTTGTTGTCAGCACCTTGTAATACCAGCTCATATAGTGGATGTGCTAGGGTTATATAATGTTCTGCTTTATGATAAGTTTGCCTTCATAGATCTGTGTCTGAATTCATTCATGGTCATTCCTCAGCGGAATATGTCTGTGAAAGGGTCAACTTCGGGTTTTGATTGCCATCCTATTCTCCATAGTGAATGAGACTCAACTTGTGCGGAACCAGTAGATTCAAGTCACTGCAATATGTTCACCCAGTATTTTGTGCAAATTGCAAAGTCTTTCTTCCTGTTTCAAGCGACAAGCATCCAAACTTGGCATTATTTCAATATATCTCCATTCTCCAATTATCCAATCTCAAGCCCGTCACATCTTTTCATACTGAGGAGCTGCATGCAACAGAGAGTGCAACTTCTCAAGTTGCGCCAGTGCTGCAAGCGGCACGCAATACCCAGAAAGTACATATATCCATCCTCATATCAACAATCTTACGCTCAAGCCCTTCCCAATTTTTGGTTCGGAACATGGTATCAAAGATATCAGCGGGCTTTACGGTGCTAATAACTAAGAAAGAAAGCGAACTCATTTAAACAGCGAGCCTGGCATTGGAGAAAGCTCAAGCTACTCAGAATAACCTAGGAGCCGTGGTGAAAGAAAAAAAGAGCACTGACAATGTAGCCATGACTTCGCAGAACTTCAACAACCCAGAAAGAGTTTTATAAATGGCAGGCACTAAGATACAGTTAATAGACTCAACTTACATCTGCAAGCCAAACAATTTGAACTATTCTACACAAACAGGTATGTGATGAATCCCAAAAGGGTATCGTCATAACACAGCTAATCTGGATATTGTAGGCCACATATTAACTTAGTTACAAGATTTGTCATAAACAGTCCAGAAAGGGGCTTCAACGAACTGATCAAACTTCCAAGTCAAAAGGCCCAGTTTTTCGAATCCTCAGCGCCAAATACATTTTCTACATCGGATCATGTAGTTCGTATAAAGGGGTGCTCAACCGAAATGTTCCACTTATCCGACCTCCCCCTCCGAGCGAAATACATAACTTCAACTTCTATAAACAATCGAATCTAATATCTCAAATAAGTCAACTTTCTCGAACATCTGAGATCTCTATCGCTTAAAGGGGGTGGTTACTGGTGTCTTAACTTGGCAGTTGTAGGTGAGGATTTCTTTGCTTAGAGGGAATGATGCAGAAGATTTTCTGTACTAGCAGCCGATATTGAGAGATAGGGAAGAGCAAGAGGAACGAGGAGATTGAGTTGGCTTTGACAGGCATACACTTGACGTTGTTGAGCAATCAGTCTTGTATCCCTTTGAATTTTTTCACTCAAGGGAGTACTGGTAAACAACAAAGTTGGTTCCTTTTCATGGTACTGGGAATCTTAATTTATCATAAGGGCTTGGGTATCAGCTTGATGAAGTTAACAGCAGATTCAACCGCTTTTGTATGGAGAAACACAGTGCCAAGATTACAGAGGGATATAAGGAAGAGAGATTGTAGAACAAGCTCAAAGAAAGATTTGGGGCTATTGCTGTTGTATATGCTCACAAAGATGAGTATTGAGGTGGGATGAGTATATAATCTATCTTCTACTATGTTTGACTTTCAGTCTACAGATTAATGTCATCTGCTAACTTTTTGATTGTGAAAATCGAAATCAGTAGTGATGGGGTCTTAGAGTATACTTTTACTACTCCTACATAAAGAGACTGATATGAGTATCACAATTTTATAGTAGTATAACACTGTTGATGGGGAGAAATGGAACCTCAAATGTATGTTTGAGACTCAGATCTCCATGATTGTTACTCATCCATACAACTGTTTTACAATAACCTAACATGTTTGAGCTGAACAAATAATACTACTATTCTATGTTTTTTGAGTGCCATGAAGTAGTTTTCTTAAATGGTGAAATAATTAATTAGATATCTGAACAGATAGAATGTATGTATGTAGAAGTGATTGAAAATGCTAGATTTCCCGCGATTACTGTCTGTAAGTACTATCAAGAGCCATCGGTTCATTTGATAACATGAGTTACACGGTTCTTCAATCTTCTTCATCTTCATCGTCTTCGTCATCGTCGTCTTCATCATCGTCATCGCACTCGTCATCGTCATCGCCACCATAACCCCCACCCCCACCCCCTCCATGTCCACCGTTATTTCCTCCACTTCCGTGTCCTCCGTTGTTCACCCCTCCCCCTCCCCCTCCATGGCTTCCATTATTTCCTCCACCACCACCGCTGCCACCACCTCCATGACCTCCTCCTCCCCCTCCACCACCACCTCCGGTCCCATTACCAAGATTCAATGTATTTACTTCGGAGCAGAACGAAGACCATAAGCTTGACCACTCCGTGTACCCAGTTTGTGTAGTTATGAGCATTCCTGCTAGGTTTGCAGACGCAAGCTGACTCACGAGAGCAGTTTGTTCTGTTGTAGTTCCAGTAAAATCATGAATTGCATAAGTTGACTTAGCTAGTAAGGAATTATCCAAACTAGTTAATAAAGTTTCATTGAAGTTCGCATAAGACTCTTCGAAAATGTTGATGCTATCAGCCAGTGTATAGAAGGACGCATCGACCGCAACACCGGGGTTGAAATATATGTAATCTTTCCCAGCTCCTAATGATGTTTTCGCGTATGTGGTAAGTGTACTCATATATGAGAATGTTGAGTTGTTTGATGGCGACTCATCGAAGAAAATTCCGCCTATTGGAAGCTCTGTTGGTGAGTTCCACCCGACAAATTTATCGATTTCTGCTTCGATTTCTATAACATCTCGATTTCCGTAAGAGGTATAGACATAGCCAAGAGTCAGGACGTTTGCGTAGCTACTTAGATTTGTAAGGCCTGCAACATAATTGACATCTGGGTCCGTAAACGCCAAATTGGGGGCAACAATCACATGAAACTTAAGTTCTGGATTGGCAACAATCGAGGTGGTAAGTGTACTCCATGAAGTCGAATTGTATGGGTACATATAAAGTGGAAGAAACACGAAGGCTGGCAGAACCATGTTGACGACGGGGACGTATCCGTCACACGGATTGTTTGAAAGCAAATGAGCGGAAACGAGCGAAAACCAGTAATACCAAAAATGCAAACTATAGAACGTGCATCATAGCAGAGAATTATAGAAACGTTACAAGAGGAGACTTCTCCTTCACCAAAAGTCGCTTTCCACATCTGGCCATACGGTCGAAAATACGATACTTGGCAAATGTACCATTGAAAATTTAGCTCGCATATACATAGTATATCTTACTGAATCTCTCAGGCTGAATTTCTTCATTGCAATATATATGCAAGCCTTTTATGACACCTTCCAAATGTGTGTGAGTTGGCTTCGATTACGCGGCTGGACTGAACGAACAGAGGTGAGAAGCTTGACATGGTCAATATCTTAAGTAGGAATGTGCAATGTTGAGGAAATGAGATGGATGTAGTGGCTGGATAAAATTGAGGGTTAAAGGGGAAAAAGAAGTTTCCTTAGCCCTTCGCTTGCAGTGGGTGAGAACCCAGAGCCCTATACCCCTACATTTCCCCCATCCTCTTCGGCCTCGACGGGAAGATTTTGCATTGTACCTTCCTACTCGTCTGCTAACGATTCCTTCTTTCATTTCAATATCGGCCAAGATTCTAATGCAGAAATACCTACGGCCTGAATTATTGCTTATTTCTCGGTCCCCACCCCGGAGACACATTTGTTCCCCGCGACGCTCAATCTTGATTCCGGGTTCGGAAACTTGTTCCTTCATATTTTCTGCTCAGGGGAATCACAATTGCGACATCTCATCGTCGCAATATTGATACAGTAGACAAAGATTGCAAGGCTGAATTTCTCCGAGACTACCATGCTAAGAAATTCTACGACGTTACAACCCAAGTCTGCCATTATCTCTGCAGCAATTATTTGTTGCGAGACCCTATCACCCCAGCAAATATGGCTTATCTTTGGCATTTTTGAGCATTTTTGGTAGTCAACACCGTTTTGGTGTTATAGCAGCGTCACAGCACGGCGAAAAAGCTCCTCATGAGGCTGCTTTTCTGTCAATAGGATCAGCTAGGTATTATTCTGACATCAAAATATTGATTGCTACTAGCCATCCGACTACTTGGGATACCAGACTAGATATACCCAGATCTTGGCATGGCATGATGCCTTTCGTTTTAGCTTAGGGTACGATGCATCAAGTATCGCGTCTATTGCCCAGAAAAGCTGATCTGCTGGAAAAACTCAGTCGCTGAAGTTTTTGTTCCCTTGTTGATTTTTAACCTGTTTCCACTCAAATTTTCATTTCTCGAATCTTTCCTTTCCTCTTTCTTGACGAGCACCCGTTGCCTTCTCATTTTTGCTGCATCAAAATGGCTGAATTTTAGTGGCCGTTGTGTAAAGCTGTCATCCATCTCAATTCTTGAAGCAAGATCCTTTTATTGACGCCACTCTCGTACTGTTGTCTAGACTTCGGTATCTCAATTCTTATGTCCTGTACTTGTCGTCATCTTTATGTTTTTGAAGTTTGCAACAGCTCCTACGCTCTGATCAGATTTTTCGAACCTACTACACTAAGGGGTATATTTTTGTGTGGTGATGATGGTCCCGATAATAATAAGCTAAGCTATATGTGTCTTCGTGACTGTCATTGGGATAGAAAGTTTCCCACAGTTCACTATATGGGTATTCGATACCTTTCTCAAAGCTACCGCTGACCTTGGGCAATCATTTCATATTTCATTCCAAGCTCTACACTTTCAATGATCTCTGCTATGAGCTGGAAGTCTTCAAACGTGAACAATAACCGGTCTATCAAAAGGGCCGCTCTGAACGGCACATTGGATGGTTCAGTTCGTGGTGCTCGTCACCAAACTAGTAAGATAATACTTCTCTGGTCTAGAGGGAAAAGAAGGACATCGATGTATCACATCTATTAAGGGCCTATCACCTTTTCATCCCCACACAGTTTGATTCACTTAGTCGATGCTCTTTTTTCTTCCTTTTTCTGAGTAGAGATACCCTAATACGCAAGGCAGATTGGTGCAATCGGCTCAATCAAACACAAAGTTTCTCGAGATTTAACTCAACTTCGCCACCGGAATTCACGAAGTATAAAAGTTTTGACTTCTCACGTCTCTGCAAATAGCCTAATACGATCATTTTACTCAATCAAATGAGCAACTCAGAGGTGCGAAATATTGTATCTTAAAAGATTGCGTGTCCCATGCTTGCCAAATTTTGATAATTTTGGTTTGTTCCTGCATTTTGACAATAGTTGGGGGCATGAATTGTCTTGCTACATACTAGGATCGGTTTTTGATCAAACCAAAGAATGGTTTGACATAGATACTTGAATTCTATCTTACTGCAGGTGCAGAGCAACGTTCCAATTGTCTATTTATGCCCACATAAACTATTATCCCACTCATGTACGCATCGTTGTTCACATCGGAACTATATACGTAGCCCAACACAGTTTTGAACATGCAATTGCGGGGAAGCTGAAGATTCCGGATAATCTCTCGGACCTGCAGTGCTACAATGAGTCCCGTAAACCCACTTGCTGATTCGCTCAATCCATCGTTGTTTGCATATTGTATTCTTATCGTGAGCTCTCAACCTTTCGAAATAGGCATATAAGATGTCGATCAATACCTTACTATATCTATTTCAACAAAATAACCTCAAAGAAAGGTCGGCGACAAATATCCAAGGCCATCTTTTATTTCGAAATTGAGCATTCTCGATTCTAGACAATGTCAATGTTTACCTCACCTTTGAAACACCTGCTCCTTGCTGGGGTGGCGTTATACGATGTCTCTGTCAGTGCTTCAGTGCTTCAGCCTACTCCCCCAATGGGTATGCAAATTCTCAATGCAGCAATCCTTATGGTAATAGCTAACTGGGTTAAGGCTTCAATAATTGGTCGGCATTTATGTGTGGGCTTAATGAATCGCTATTTGTTGAGACAGCCCAGGCAATGGTGGAGAAAGGCCTACTTGCAGCAGGTTACAATCGACTTAATCTAGATGACTGTTGGAGTCAAGGTAGTCGGGAAACGAACGGTAGTCTCTTATGGAACACCGAGAAGTTTCCACGCGGCCTTCCATGGTTGACCGGCTATTTGAAAAGCCTGGGGTTTAATTCTGGAATCTACACCGATGCTGGAATCAATTCTTGTGGTGGATATCCAGGTTCGTATGGGTATGAGGAACTTGATGCTCGAGCTTTTGCCTCATGGGGTTTTGATTACCTCAAGGTTGATGGCTGTAACATGCCTGTAGCAACCGAGCAAGAGTATGAGCGTGTTTACGGGCATTGGCATGGCGTCTTAAGTGCATTGGAGAGCCCTCTCATCTTTTCAGAGTCTGCTCCGGCATACTTTGCAGAGCAGGACAATCTAACCGATTGGTATACTGTAATGGACTGGGTTCCGAAATACGGGCAGCTTGCTCGTCACTCGCGTGATACACTCGTCTGGAACTCAACTTCATATTGGCCCGACATCACTGGATGGGATTCTATCTTGTTCAACTATGGACAGGAAGTAAGATTGGCGAGATATCAGAAGCCTGGGTACTTCAACGATCCAGATTTCTTGATTGTTGACCACTTCGATTTATCGCTCAATGAAAAAAGGTCACATTTCGCTATCTGGGCCTCACTATCGGCCCCTCTTATTATCAGTGCTTATATTCCGGCATTTAGCGCAGATGAGGTTGCTTATCTCACTAATAAAGATCTAATTGCCGTAAACCAAGATTCATTGGCATTACAGGCGACACTTGTCAGCCAAGATGGTACATGGGATGTTTTGACCAAAGATCTAGCAAATGGGGACCGACTTCTCACTGTTATCAATCGAGGCAATCTAACGGCTAGCTACAAAGTACCATTTCAAAGGATTGGTATTTATGCATCAGCAGTCAAAGTCAAAGACCTCTGGACCGGGAAAGTCTCATCCTCATCCAAGGTAGTCACAGCTGACAATGTTCCTTCGCACGGTACTGCAGTATATCGTATTTCTACTGGATATGGAAATCTAAACGTTATACCGACTGGTATGATCTTCAACACAGCATCACTGAATGTTCTTACCTACTCTCGTCAAGGCCTAGCGTGGGCAGCCTCTCTCGGATCGGACGAGCAAGTATGGCAAACTGATGAGGATGGTACTATCAAGGGAATTTTTGATACTTCTAAGTGTCTAGCAGATCTTGGAGGAGGAAAGGTATCACTGATTGCATGTTCTGGCAAAAAGAATCAGAGATGGGAGTACTATGTTACTGGAAATCTCGTAAGCCTCAGTACTGGGTCGTGTTTGGCTGAGACTAGTGGAGACGTTGTGACGGCGAAATGTCAATTTGAAACCAACGGGCAAGTGTTTGGTTTGCCTAGTGGAATTGATGTTATTGGGCAATAAATGTATTGGCATTGTTTGGAGAAAGTTTATTCCCGAAGACCATTAATGTATTCTACCTTGTGTACTAAGAAGAGCATATCAATATGACCATTATGAGAAAAATGACGCTTGATACGTATATGGCTGTAATTCATATGCGAGTAAGCTGCCGGAATAGCTTCTTTTATCTTTTCTGATTACACCATTATTTCCTCTGCATTTATCAGTCGTAAAATAACACATTCAGCTTCTTTTCAGCTTGAGAAATACGAGAATTTGCATGCGCAAAATTAGCAACTTCTGCTTCTGCTACGTTACAACACAATACCCCGCCAAAAACAGCCCCGCATCAAAATGTTGGACCGACGGATGTTCAACTCCGATATTATCCCGTCATATCCCAACTTTCAATATCATCACCTGATATGGCATATCCATTGCTTACCACATGGCACTGGACCATATAACACTTTGCTTGTCCCTGAACCTACGTAACTCTTTCTGAACAATAATTTCAAGCAAAATGCCGGAAACAAAGTCAAAACTCCTTGAATCTCTCGAACAAGATGGCTTCGTTCTCATCCCCTCTCTTCTAAGTCAAGCAGAGATTGATTATCTCCGTATCGAAGCGGAAAAAACTGTCGACCTTGCTCGCTCTGGCTCATGGCCATATGTTCGAACGCTTCCCAAGCAATTTCCACCTTGGAACATAGGAGAAGGAGAGTCACCTGCGAAAGATGGTATTTGGGGTGTTCAATCACTCATGAATCCCAAGCTTGCAACTTCATCATCATTTATCAAGATCTACTTCTCGGATAAGATGTTGGGTGTAGTGAAAGAGCTCCTGCAATGCGAGGACGAAGATTTAGTCATGGAACTATTTAATTTATTGATTCGTCCTGATCGCGACTTCGAGCTTCGTTGGCACCGAGATGATATCCCATCTTCTGCCACGGCTGAAGAGGAACTCGCAAGACTAGCGGAGCCTGCATGGCATGCGCAATGGAATATGGCATTGTATGATGATTCTTCTTTGATTGTGGTTCCCAAGTCTCACAAGAGGGCGAGGACCGCCGCAGAGAGAGATATGAGTGAATATGAGATGGGAGTACAGGGCGAGATCAGAGTAGAGATGAAAGCGGGAGACGTGGTGTTTTATGACAACAACATTTTGCATAGAGGAAAGTATGAGAGTGGTAAGGAAAGGGCAACACTACACGGGAGTGTAGGTCATCGGAATGGCAAGGGAGTGAGAGCCAGGAACGTACTGCAGCATGGATTGAGGGAGGTGAGTTGAAAATATTCTACCCTTTGAAATGAATAGCTGTTAAGCGACAACGCTGACATCATTGATAAATTCCAGTGGGTTGGTGATATTGATCTTAGTGTACTGAACGAAGAAGAGAAAAAGAGAGCGGAGGGAATGAGGAAGAGATTATTGGGCATGGCTGAAGAGAGTGGTGAAGTAGGTTATTCATTGGATGGATGAGATTGGATAATGAATTAGGATCAATAAAAGGTGACAGGCAATCTGTAAATATGCATTGGAAGCCCAGATAACTTGGAAAATTGTTATCTCTAACTAGTGGAAGAATCTTGATCCTCTTAAAGATTTGGTAAATTCATTATTGGCAGGTTTCCTTCACCATACAATACGGTTGAACCGCAGAGGTTGGTAGTGAATCATAGCTACTAGAAACTTGTCAAGAAACTACATTACCGGTATTCTTTCGTTATCAACTTGGTACAGTTACTAAAGCTCTATACCGTTCGCTTGCTGTAGCTCCCCGAGGCGTTTATCCTCATAAGTGAAATCATCAGTCTTAAATCAATCTCTTTAGCATATCAAAATTTTAAATCGATCGCGCTCTCCGCAGAAACTCCCCGTGTCCATCAATATCTACAAGTTGCCAAGTTTCACCAAAATATCTCTCCATATTCAAACACTTTTCAGAGTTCGAAAACGAATAAATTGCGACCTCGGTCTTCTCTCATACATATCCCAAAATAGGGATCCAACAGAAGTTCACAAAAGCGGTAAGCTATCATCCGAATCACTTGGTACAAGTAATTACCACTGACAGATAACACTAGATCGCATGAACTTTGCCATTTCTTCCTGTCTCGAATATTCGTTACGGAGATCATGGATCGACAAGCAAGAATCAATGAAGCCAAGCAGGGAATCGAGGCCATGTTCGAAGGCTTAGATGACGGCGATGCGGCCGACATAGTTGAGATCTGCCAGAATGCAATCGAAACTATCGAGATGAGATATGCAAAGAAACTCAGAGTCTTTAAAGAATTCTACAAGCCCCTGTCTGACAGCGAGACCGACGAAAACAACTCTGTTGATGCCACGCAGAAGATCACCAACAAGTACTTTCAGCTTTACCAGGCACTCCCCGCTTTGGAGAAATTGCGAGATTTGGGCAAGAATTCTTTGTCACTCTGTTCAAAAACGTCTTACTAACATGAAACAGATCAGAAAAGAAAAAACACAAAGATTGAGTTGAATTTTCAAGTAATGATTGCTGAGCGAAAGGAACGTCTCGAAGACTTGAAGAACGAAAATTAAATCCAGGACACAAACTGGAGTCTATTTCTCTTGGTATGTTGACGGGGAATCCACTGGCTCTGAAAATATGGTGAACAAGAAGTAGAAGTTTTCGCACAGGCAATATGGTTATGGTTAGGTGATTCCATGGTGATGGGCTAGGTACAAGGAGGAACACTGACCAGGTATTCTACTCAACTAAAGCATTAGTTGTTCTCAATAGGCGCCGGAATAAGGAACAATCGGAGGGCTAGTTCTGAATAAGAACAGGAAAAAGATCTCTTACCACCAATTTGCCACATCGCTATGCGTATAACGCTGAATTTGATTGAAGTGAAGTGAAGTGATCTCATGAAAGCTATAATTAGATGATTTGGGCTGATGATTGAAGAGCACCTCAAAGATGGGATATGATAAACTGTCGATGATCTATGTTCCTGTAGCACCAGGCTTTGTAAGGTTCAGGATTGGTCTCAACTGAAACCGAAGTGACGTGCCTAGCTTTGGTAACATGCCTAATTTCAATTTTGCGACGGTCAGTTCAACAAGAAATGATGGGCATCTCTCTAGTATTCAAGGTGTGGTAGAAACAAGTAAAGTAGCCCGCTATGGAGTTTGGTCATTCACGCTCACAGAACGACAGTTCACTTTGCTCTTCGCGTTGAAACGCGCTCGAAGATGCTGCCTCAAAGTCTCATCTCAGATCTCAAACCATAAATTCATGCATAAGGGGAACTGTTATGCAAACGGATAACGAAGATTCATGATATAGAGCATGATATAGAGCATGATTAATTTTGAATTTCAGTTTGTACTTACGAAGAGACACGTTTGTCCTAGATACATTGGTAGAACGACAGAGGGTTTGAAACTTGGATAGAGAAGAAACACATGAGAAGGTCTTCGTCTTATTTTCTGTGCCAGCAGTCAAGTGCCCGGCTAGAGTCCCGAACATGGCACTGTTGATCAACATAAGCAACGGGAGTTTTTGATAAAGGTAGAGGCTATATCAATCACTTCTAGACTCTCACTGAGAGTTTCCATAACATCAACACAGAGTGAAGATGCTAATCGGATGTAGTGCCCGCAATTCAGAGTCGAGACTCTTCAATTTCCCATAGGAAAGAGTGGAGGCAAGAGACACGAGCGCTGAAAGGCCCTTTGCATTATAGTAAACACAAAAATACGAATGTTAATCCGACTTCAGGAACCAACTTCAAGCATTTGGTGTACATGATTATTTGCAAGTCACAAGTCGTTTCAATACTGTTGCAAAATCAGGAAAGGGGGAACTGAAAGCCCTTGAAGATGAAAGAAGCGGAGAACAACATCAGCTAATGCTAGGTGGATGGGCATTGTATCAATGGAGAACAGAACAGCAAGTCTACTATCTAGCAGGGTCTAGATTTGTACATGATCCACATCAATCTCAAGAGACCGCTTTTATCTTCCTCTACTGTGCAAGCAGGGACTGAAAGCGCAGAAAAACTATCTTCCTTATCTGTTGTGCTCAGCATACCATTTCGAAAGCAGAAACGCTTTGTTCTCCAGATCCTCATCAATCTTATCTTCTCTACCATTTTAGTCCAAGTATATAACCATTAAAGGGACTGACTGAGCCTCATGATCAAAAAAGGACACCGCAGATATTAAATATCTGCTAAAGCCACTTTTCAAATGAGCCTCTTGATCCGCAGAGAGGAAAAAGAACCTTCCAGACGCCAAATCCGTGGTCGAAGATTACCTTCCTATCCTAGCATTTTAGCTCGTTTTCTATTCTGAACTCATGACATCGTTCCTCCTATTTTTATTCCCTGTCTAGCTATGTTGCTGTGCCTCTGGTCTGGCTCAAGATCCAACCAAAATAAGCCAAAAGTGAAGGATAAAAGTTGCTGACTCGAATTTACAGATCCTGCAATTTCCTATGGGGGCCAGAGCCTTTGTATATCGTAGCCAGAAATGGTTTACATGATGGGACCGGCACCGAACAAACCAGTTGCTTTTGAAGATACGGACTAAATCACTAGAAGAGTACGCCGAGTTAGCCCGAGATCGGTTCCGAAATCCCACTTTACTTGTACCGTTACCTTCATCAAACTGTCAAAATCGTGACTTATCGGCAGTTCAAACACAGTCAGCTTAATTCGGGACTTTCATGATCGATGCCGGATATGCAGAATAACCTATCCGCATGTACTAATACTCATGTAAAAGACAACAGTTGGAATCTGTAGATTTGACATCTGTAGATCCTGATAACAGTTGGTGGTCTGCGATCATTAATCAAAGGTTGACGCGTCAAAAAGAAAAGAACGGATCAGGGGCAACAGAGATCTCTGCATCAACCATATCAATTGAGCCTCAGATATTGGATACATGTAAGATAAATCATTTACTACACCAATATTCCAAGTGCGGTGAATGCAATGGCAGGCTACGTGTGAACTACGCATCTTCATCACACCACACCACACTACACCACACCAATATCTTAAATCTTTTGCCGCTTAGAGGAGCAGAGCCTCATTTGCGAGATTGAATGATTTGGAATGCGACAAGGAACGAATCCCAACCAAATACTTAGCTGCTATACCATGGTATGCACATGCAACCCAAGCTGGCTCGAGGCTGGACACCCCGCACGCCCGCGATTGTAAATTGAGCAACCAAGTCAGTGTGAAAATTATGGGAACTCAATACTTCGCATGCACGATGAATCACTACTCAGGCCGAGAATCACGGAGCCGTCTGTCAAAATCTTTTGGGTCCGCCAGTATGAAGATCTTTACTTCAATAGTGTCCGTTGAAAGACACCAAATATCTGTACGTATGCACTGCGCCCTTCCAATCCAAACCATGCCTTGACTTACCTGAATACTGGGTAGATTTCAATCATTTGACCAACGGGGTATACGAACATGCCACACGTATGTGCGTCGAATCGGATACGGAAAAAGCTCCTTAAAGCCGGGGAAAGGAGAAAAGGTATAATATTGACCCGAGTCCGACCGATCGCGAGCTAGATGTGTGATGATATCTCTCCCATTTGATTGGCACCTAGAAGGCGCATTTGACGAGTTTGAAGATTGATGGGAGCCTAGTATGATTCACAAACAAGGTGTTTCGTTCGTACAAATAATATCCACTAGCCATTTACATATATGCATCCACATGGCAATTTGGGCTTGCCGAAACATCGGGTCGAATTGATCATTGGTAGAATTGTTCAATAAAACTTTTCCCACTCGGATGCAGATTAACCTGCTTGTTTATGGAAAATAAATTGGCAATCCAAGTTTGTGAAGAGGAATGTCATTTGATGTGCTTTAGATATTGGTAGGCTTGGTAAAATGGGTAAATGTGCTGCAAGGATTAAACATTGGTACTGGGCATTGGTGGAGATATCTTGAATCTCGATGTTAAGGGATATTTTGATGCTTTGCCGCGGGAACTTATACAGTATTCTAATTGTCTTGACTCGAGCTTCTGCTTCGGATCCGAATTTTAATCGGAAACCCATAAAGAGATAGAGGTACAAATAGAGGGGAGCTCGGTTACAGACTGAGCTCCCTGAGTCCCCTCATTCCAATGGAGTTTTTCGTGCGTCTAACTCAAACAAAAACCCATTAAAAAGCGAGTATCCACTACAACTATTTTGTCTGCTTTTCCCACTTTCCTCTATATCACATGTACGTGAAAGGTCACAGGCTCACAGGCAGCGAATGCACAGCCGTTTGCTATGCTGTATGGTCCAGAATTCAATTGACTTCATAGCGTGTAAAAAACCCCTTCCCCTCGTTTATTAAAGCCTCATTTGCAAAATACGACTTACTGAATTGGGAGCGTATTGAAGCTATCTATCCATCTATCTATCTATGCTATGCTATGCAGGGCTCTGGCAAGGATGTTGGGAATCTGGCCCCAACTGAATTTCTGCAACCACATGGCTTGCCTGTCTTTCACATGGTATTTCTAGCGATGGAGATAAGATGTTATGTACATTGTAACCCCCGTAGTTGACGGAGAAATGCCCTCAATCTTCAACCTACGGAGTATGAAGCATACTGTGAGTAGGCTATCGGGGGAAAATATGTGCGAAATTCGGTGAAGAATTGAAGAATTGGAGAACCATTTCCCTAATCGTTGATTTCGAGCAAGCGACCAAGACGGGCCATTCAATGTATTGCCGATATCATTCGTGCGGCAAGACTCCTCCGCACAAGGAAAAGGGAACTCCGTTGCCTGTATTCCGTATCTGTTCAAAAGGAATAAACACTAATACATCCGCCAGTTCCATACTCCACAATTTGGACGGATCGACCGTAAATTGTCAATTCCTTCGTCTGTTTCATTGCGGCGCATAAAGTCGCTATGTAAGCTACATATGTAAACCATCACGAGTCAATATCGCAATACATTATGGAAACGGAGGATGAATACTGAATCGTTGATCAATAAGTTCCGTTCGAGCCCTAGAAAATAGCCAAACGATCCACCCTCCCCACTGTGACTCTTATCACCGTCTACTGCCGCAACGGATATTCCCGTGATGATATGAAGGCTCGAAGTGACGATGAATGAATTTCGGGATACATAGGGTCCTGTAGTACCTACTTTGTACTATGGAGTGGAGTTTTACCGAATTTTATCGTAGGTGGAATTCCATGCCTAACTTCCCCGGCTGGTAGCCGTGGATCGTTCACAGGAGGGTCTCCATAAGTGAGCGCTTGTAAGTAGGTTTTGACTTTCATCGATCGCAGATCAGTAGGTGTTTAAATGCCTAAAAATAAATGTAGAGTAAAGCACTTACCTACTGTGCTCGCCAGTAGTCAGATGAAGTTCGTTAGACAATGATTGCGATGACGACCCGCGAAAACCATTGCGGAGACACAACTTCCTGGATATCAAGTTTGGAAGTATTCGAGTATCGATGAAGAAAGGAATCAAAACCTAT